ATATGTTGACTGATGAACAAAAAGGAGCAACACATATGAAATAAATAAGATTCCATATGAATGACCGATTTATGTAGCGAAGTTGTTTTCTCTCGTAGAGACCCGCTAGGATGTGAGGTTAGTCTAATGCCCTCACTTGTTTTAGTGTAGCAGCGTCACAGAAGTTCTAATATATCCTGCCGACGTTGTTGCACTTGCTGTACGTTTGTTTAAAAAAAAATACTCTGTTGTTTAAGAAATGCTGAGGGCCGTCGTAGAGACAACTCTGATTTAATGTTTTGCACAACAACAGTGGATTATATTTACTTTCATTAAATTAATGTGCAATTAATGCTTAACACAAGCATTTTGATTTGTTGGCTCTCTAAGTTTCTATATCAAGAACATTCAAACAAAATAGCAAGATAGTTGTGGCCAAATGCTCTCAATGTGTAAATATGAATATACAAATGCGATAACGGTCAACGGGCTATATTTTTAGCTCCACGCCTGTCGTTAAGTGCGAATCTTCTACAGTAGCCCGCTCTAGGCGTATCGCTGCATGTTCGACGCTGTCTGCTAGCCGAAAAAGTTAACGCGTCGCTATAGCTCTTTAAATGAAGTTTGCTACCCCTTAATGCACGTGTAGTGTTAGTAGAGAATTAACATGATCGATACGACTTCTTCTGCTCCAAAATTGTCCTCGCAGTGATGGATTTAATGTTGCTAAAAACGTAGAAGGTCTACACAAGCTTCTTACAGAAAATATCGTGGCACCTTTTACGCAACCAGACTTTCAAATTCGCTTAGTCGGACAATACGTGCAATATATCTTAGCTATCGGAGTTTTACTGATGGTAAACTTCACGAAACCTCATTTGAGAGAGAGGCTTTGAGCTTAGCACTCGTTCTGTTTTTAGCAAAGACCTTAATTTTGGTTTAATTACAACTCCATCAAGTCTTGCTTTTTTCCGTGTTACTGACAACCCAACTAACAGAACTCCAATGTTAAGACAATCGGTTTGTGAGCTTGCAAGGTTTGCAAGTTTTCCTCATGCTGAAAGAAGCTATGGGCGTATTTGGTAATCTTCGTGTCGTTCATCCTCTAGAACAGTACCTAAAACATAACCGTAACGCAACTGTCGAATCGATATAATCGTTATAGGGCAGCGACGTACTTTTGGCATACAGTTGAAAATTGACCTTTATCTCATCATAACTGTGTGCATTTCTCTAACTATGTACTACGGCAAAAAAGAAACGTCTTGATGTTTTTAAATGCTTTTCCATATTGCTATATATAAATACACCTATATTTTAATAAGCCAACAATCGTCTGAGTTCAGAGGAAGACTGATCTTTCTTTAGACAAATTTTGGCGGTTTACGTTGCTTTTGATAGTTTCAATATTGGCAGCGCTGTCAGTGACCTGGGTGGCAGTGGGTGCACTCGGAGAGATCGATCAAATAATGCACGTATCGTGAATCCGCCGGAAAAACCGAAAGGAGGTGTAGTGACGAAATACTTGAGACTTTCGATAGCGTAATGTTTCTCAATGTGTCTCAAGTCAATGTTTCTATAGCTCACGACAGTTATTGTTGTAAACTGTTCATGAATCAGACAATGTTTCTTACTTTCGAAGAAAGACAGTTGATGTTCAGCAATACTGCCTGCCAGGATCGTTCCATATAATGGGCAAAAATGTGGCTAAAGCAGCACTTGTCCTTTCGAAGGGCTGAAGTGATTTTTGGTTAAGAAAAAAAGTGTTTTTTTGGCAATTAAACGTATGCGATGCTATAATTACCCCACAGATGTATCTTTGTTCTCTTTAAATCTCTGAGAATGTAATTTCGTTCTGACTTGTGTTAGTCTAGATAGGACAATAATGGTAATTCAAATCTGAATTTCGTTCTAGATTGGTCAAGCCTTTTTAAATTCATTGTATTCTTTAGTGATAAACTACCCAATTTCTAATATAAACGTGTATAAAGTTGTAGACCTGTATGCGCTTAAGATATTCCTAGGAAGTACTTTTTCCAATAAATTTTAAGGCATTCTTGTGTATAGGTACCATTAATAGTACGTAAATAGGGAGTACTTCTGGTTGACGCAACCTTTTAAAAGGATGATGCTTCGTTTCACGTTCGTACTCTACGGTACCTGAGAAGGCGTGTTGTGTCTAAAACCCGCGTCACTCACTCTGAAGTTGAATCGAGCATACGCTACATATGACGATCGAATCACTTTATGAATACCTTCCTGCTGCTAAACTAAACTCTTTTAAGCACTAGCTTTGTGCACGTGCCTACCCCATTAGAAGATCCTGGCACGTTCTTTCCGCGTCAATCAATTGGTACAAACTTGGTAGCAACCATACCGTTATTACGATATTTTAACTTCGGGGTAACAATGAGCCATGGTAACATAATTATAATCTGAGCAAAGGGGCTAATGACCCTATTTTCGACACCTTATAAAAAGTCGGGCTGCCTTTTTGTTTAATCGTCGGATTACTGTCTGGAGTTGTAGTTACTAAAATGCCCCACAATTTCTGCCATATTATTTTTTTATTCATTACTTGATCGGTCGCTTTATGTTACAGCAGTTACGGCATCCATGACGACAAAATCTCTAAAACTACAAACCTGATCTATTAGTGGGGATGAGGCTGGCATCGCGAATGGAATACAACAATTTTCTTTCTGAGATCATTCAGAAGGGGTACTATGTCTTAGTTAGGTATGATTACGCAACAGTATGGCAGCATTTGGCTGTGTCACGAAGACCATCCGAGCACGACGAGTTTGCCGGTTTGAATAAGCTCGTAAATGTTGGGTGCGATATTATCAGCTAGCCATGGAAGATATCGTAGTGTTTATGACTCGCACTTACTTTGAGATATGTTCAACCTGTGATATTCTCGAACTAGACGGAATATTGGGACTTGCGTCTGCAATAATGTCACGCACGTAAAACCTTTGATTTTCTGGGTCTCTTTCATGACAAAAAGGAGTTTTTCCCAGGTAACGAAAGCTTCAAATTTAATATGCACTTGCCATTGTTGTGGAGCGTTAGTACTTTTGCTTTAAAGACTTGAGCTGATTTTACGATGTAGTTTGGGTCAGACTCTCACAGCTGCAGTCTAGAAGAAGTTTCGTATCAGCCAGTAGACCTTCTTTTACAAAAAGTTGTAATCTGATCTGGTAATGGTTGCCTACTTTACAACACGCCCGTCGTGTCTATTATTACGTTATTGACGGGGCCACACCTGTGTAGGTGATCTCATCGCGTATACACTAAGTCTCGGATTTTCATCCAACGTAGGGCTGGTACAATATCGTAGTAGTATCAGCGGCAGCGTGGCTTATCAGAAAAATTTATTTCAATCAGGTGAAAGAAAAAGCCACACATACTTTTGTTATGTATATCTGCTGATACGAACATGATTAATCATTATGTGATCATTTCGATTGTAATTCCTCTAACTGATCCGTCTCCTATTTCGATTACGCTGTTGTTGCTACCACAGCAGAAAACTCTGGAACGTCAAATCCTAGGCTTTGTCTGCTGTTCCATAAACGACGTTTTGTTAAACCTCTATTTAATAAAAGTCGAAATGTCATCTTCTAGATGATTTGGTCAATTTCAAAGCGGACACCGAAGCACTGGTGTTTACAATATATGGCTCCTATATTATATATAAAAACAAATAGAACATGAGGTAAAGTCCACTCTGCGTAAAATACTTTTACTAAAATTAATAAAATTTTTAAGTAATACCAGGAAACTTATATTCTACCCGACATGAAGGAATTACCCGACAGGAAGGAAAATCTCGTGATCTCCAAAAATTAAGCAATGAATGTGAAAACATTGCTAAACCTAGTAACGACCGACGAACAAGTTCAAACGATTACTTTAAAAGTACAGTTTCTGTAATAATAACGAAGTTACATGCTTACGTTGTGTCTATATAGCTATATATACAGTATATATAGCCTATATAGTGATACTACGTTATTTAAATTGGGCAAGGTAGGAACTTCCAAATAAAATAATACATGAACCTGTTACTGAATATAGATTAGTATTTTTGTATCATTATTGGTTCTTCGCCGTCTGTTGTAAAATAAGCAGATTGAACTGTTCAAAACCATGCCTCGCACAAGAACTAAGAAGGGTTGAAAAAATACGTTGTCTTCGAATAATGAATCTACTGCGAAGCTCAAGCAAGCAGCCGACATATTTTCTCCACTGCCAATTCGACATGTGCCTTCTATATTGGTGCTGATTATAGAAATCGTCTGCTATGAGAATTTATTTTTAGTTGACAAACCTTGATTCATTAAATCGACTGGAGGATATGTAACAATGTTAATCAACTAAAGCATTATTAATGACCGACAATATCGTCTTTCTCAACAAGAAAATGTTAGCCATAATAATAGCATTACAGTATTTGCGCAAAAACGGTAGGCCAAAAAAAAGAAGGGAGATATGTATGGAGCTAAGAAGTAGGACATAATCCGAGTGCAGCCTCTCCCGCCATTTCGCTCTCTGAAAAGCTTACTTTAACATCCTTCAGCAGCAACCGCTGGACACAGTTCTTCTAGGTTAAGGTATAGGACAAAACTAAGGTAAGTAAGGGTAGCATTATGTACTAAGTGTCAATGCAGTGAAAATTCGTTTTATATTTCAATGAGACCAAGAACCCAATTCTGAAAATGTGATCTCGTAACCTTAGTTTATTGAATTCTACAAGAAAATGAAAAGCTTTATTTTTTGTGTTTTGTGCTTGTAAGAAAACCGGAGAAAAGATCTTATTGCGATTCAGTTGAAGAGTTTTCCATTGATCAGGGCACGCAAGAACACAAGAACACCTTCAATCAAAAAGCACATTTAAGGCATGGAGGTTTCAGGCCCCTACAGGTCCATCGAGAATGCTCGCCGTGTTCGGGACACGTAGTGGTGACTGGTTTTCTTTATAGTATACTAGAGCGCCAGTATAGCCGGAAGCCTTATCGAGCTCTTTTTTTCACTTGCGGTTACTTCTCTAAATAATAATGGCCTTTTCTTGGTATAAAAAAAAGATTCTCACATTTAGGGTTGTAAACATTGTGTACGTCTAACAACTTTGAAATACCCTGTCAAAGGAATCCCATCAAAGAACCACCAAATTATATCAATTTAATATAGTGCGCATGCTCAAATACTGCTCTTTTTGAATAGATTCGAACTGTTATAGATGTGCGGATATTTAGCAGTGAAAAAGAAATTTTAGCTTGTTGATTGTACTAATTTATTATACTACCGCGCTGTCCACCTTATCCTTTGCTTACTGGACATTTGCGGCTACTTACGGTGTTTTGGGGAATAATGCTTACGTTGTTATTCCTTGTTCTATTCAGATATTGCGGAGCAAACCAATGTAATAATACAATATAAGATGAATAAATATTGGATACGACGACGCTTAGTATACGTCGTAGTACGTATAGCGTCGGTGTAATGGCCAGTTAGCCGTTACACAGAACTGTGACGTGATTAGTAAGATCAATTCAGGCCGTCAGTGTTATGCAACATTGACAACGTTTAGTTTGTTTAGTATGTACTATCGCCTACAGCTGTTTCATACTGACTCACTCGGCATAGCAGAATTCACCGTAAGCACGTAGTGTACCCCTGCCTGGTTTCCCAACTTATTAGAAACCTATTGTATAAAACTTTGATATGCTGCTGCTGAATTGATGGTTTTTAACGATCCGGTTGCTGTATACTGCCAGGTACGTCGCACAGTAACCCTGTTGGGCTTCTTTTTCCTTGACATCGGCGCTTAGTGCACGCCCTTACGCAAGCGAGCTTGCGCTACGCAGGCCATGACTCATGAGGTCAATCCGGTGATACCAATCCTCGTTAAAAACAAAACAATTAGGAAATTGATAAATGCGACATTGATCGTATACATAACTACGTATGGGTTGTTACGTCGCCGATTTAATGATACTAATTAATTCGTGTCTAAATTTCCTCATAACATCAACGGGTCGCTTAAGCACTGTGAAGCTAAAAACTTAACACATGATTTGCATACCCATAAACCTCAAACAAGACCAGTCACTAGTTTAAAAGCAGTTAACACCATTTGTCGTATTCAACGTTGTCGTTTAAATGGCGGCGTCACTATTGCGATTGGAATTTATACAACTGGCGCATAATACACATGCTATTATTACTGTTACTATGCCATACTCAGGCCAACCCCAGCAGAGTGGTCACACCCACTATACTCATATCGAATCTCGATGGCTTCATCAAACAATTCATTTGTGAAAGGGGCAATCCACTCTTGTATTTCCACTACCACAATAGACGAGGATCACTTGCTTGCTATTTTCTTTGTTCTCACTGTTATGCCGTAGCATTATTTGTAAAATCACCTGCTATACTAAGGATACACCTCCTCTCCTGTTCCGATATTGTATCATGTATGGTATCCGCATCCAGGCATATCCCGACAGACTGTTGTATATTTAATATAGAGTGGCGTCAACTGGGACTCTGTATCTAGCCAAATCGTAAATTCCCGACAAAAGCGTGCGCTTGAAAGGCAGTCTTCGCCATTTCTGTTGACTGCCCCGGTGCCCTATCCAGCGCGATAAGTGTGGCCGTTTCGCGGGTGGCAAGTAAGAGGGAAAATTGCAATTTTCTCTTTATTATTATTTTCGCGCACCGTGAAACCCATTGATAGCCTAGTCTTGTGGCCACAACCAAGTCTGGGTCTGCTTTCCATTTTAGCGATGCGTGTCGCCAACGAGAGAAACACTATTACTAGCTGAAGCACAATCTGAAACGTCCATATATTGCAAAGTAGCGCTGCTCAGCTAATGGCCAGGGGTGTTCTTTCTAACATCCTGCCGCTTCCGTACGTTTATGATGAATAATATAGAAATAAGTATTAAGATAGATGTGACATATACGTGAAGTTTTCGTATGATTATGGGTATCTGAGCGAGTCTCTACGTAGATGCTTATTACGCGCAAACTTGTCTTCTTAAATCTGAGGCCACATGGCAATGAGGAAATTGTAAAAATGGTGATTATCTAATCCGCTCAGACGGTGCCATGTTTTTTATGCTCACTTTCACTTTAACGCGATATACGCGAATAAAATTAGCCTTCAGTTCAACACTCGGCGATGTTTCCGGCTGTTGATCAAACTAGATCTACCTGATCCGGTATCTATCTTGTTGCAGTTTCGACAAATTTGTATCATGTATAAAATACCATTTTGTTCCTCGCCCTAAATAACGTGACTCTGCTCACAACAGTACGATGAAAACAAATAAAATAAAATCGAAGAAATGCACAGAATACCCTGTATGGCTGCCTGTGCACATTGCACCGCACCCTAACACTGCACACTTTGTTAGTAAAGCCAATGGTACAGAAATTTGAAACACAAACAGATACGTACAAGCAAATAAATACAGATACACGAAGCTGACAAGCCATTTAGATGCAAACAATATCTATATGTGTGCATCGGTAGAAGATCTGGCTCGTCCATGCCGTCCTCCTAGTTGTCTGCTACTGTCTATAACGATCGATGCTGCTGTCAAGCTCACGAGTCTTCTATTGTTAAAACGGGAAACTAACAAAATCGTAGTGTCACAATAGTTGCCACATGGCATATGGACACTGGGGCTGTGGAAACGCGACGGATTGTATTCTGAGCACTGTGTGTCATTATTCAACACTTACGGGTTAACAATGAGCCGTCCCAGAACTTCGGTAGTTCGTGTTTAAAAGATCGTGTTCTTTTCGCCGAGGCACCACACAGTACTAAACTGCTGTACTAATTAAATCCAGTCCAGATCGTCGTCCCCGATGATGTCGAATTGCAGCAGGTTTTGCTCTTTTTGCAACTTTAATCCGGGCAGCGGTTGACCTTCGAACGTCTTCAGATTACGCCAGCGTTGTCTATTATTGTGTCATCATAAAAAACGTGCAGTTATGATTACATATATTGACAATATACACTTACCTATCTATAGTTCTTGATAAAGCTTTAGTGAAAGCATTGAACTTGGATCCCGCACCCTTACTAGGGACATAAAACCTTTTTAATAACTGTAGTAATAGGACCATTAAGAGTTGGTAAACATGGATTACTCAGCCAAAAAATAGATGAAAAAATCTAAAAGTTTTTCCCATATCTAATTGAGGACAAACTGCACGACTACGAGGTTTGGTAGCAACGTACGGGCACGATTCTGGATGGATTGCGATCCGCAATATATTCATTCCTTTGTCATTTTGCTAATAGCAAAATATGCTTGGATGACTTTATTAAATTGGACTGACCCTGTGATTTTGAAGAAATCAAGTACGCTCTAAAAGTTTACTTGAGATTCCCATTGCTAGTGCATAATCACCAAATTATTCGATAGCAGATAAACAGTAGATTGAGAAAATCGTTGCTTGAATTGAACCATACTGCAAAGAGTATATAAAAGATAAGTAGTTTAACCCAGCGCCGAGTATAGTACCTGGGTTTTTAGACCCGTAATTTAGATTAAAAGTAGGCACATTTTAAATCATGTTGTACTTTACCGTAATTATATACTAATAGCAATTGAGCAGACCTGAGCAAAAGGTGAACCGAATCGTCCTATCAAGTTCTCTGATTAACAATGAAGGCTACATATAGCAAAGTGTTTTTATGCATAAATTGGGTTCGCCTCTTTGTCAACACTTGAATACGCGTAAAACTAGGTTCAGCTTCAAGCTTCATCCAATTGACACATTTTACAGAGTTGGATATCGAACATGCCAACGTAGCAATTCCGGCGGACGTAATGCTGCGTAACTTTACAAGCATCTATATTTTTCAGTGTCGTGGAGGGTTCGGCTTAGTAAAGCCAGGCGCGAAACGGGCTGGTACCCAACGGGGCGACACAGTCACACATAGCTAATCACATGCCCATCCTATCAACTTGCTGATACGACTAGATAGATATATTCTCTGAACGCCGTATTCCGATAACGGATAGTTGGCACGGACGTGCGCTCCGGCAAGTCGCAGTCGAAGCCTACGAACACCAAATTTTTTCGGCATGTATTCGAGGCATGTGTAAATCCGCGGTTGCTAAAAACCCTTTAAAAGGATAGCTTTGTTCGACGCCGTATACGAGAAAACAATGAAGAGTAGTCCCTCTTCATTTGTTGTGTCAAGCTAGGTGTCGTACTGTTCGTTTCACTAAGGATTTACACAACGGCCGCTTAACTACTGATTAAGCGGGGCCGCATCTGCTCATTGCTTGTAAACAGGTAGCAGTGTTTATAAAGCAAGTGTAGTAACAGTCGCCGTGATAGCTTGGTGGGTAACGTATTTGCTTGCTAATATTAGGGACACGTTATGGTAGGGGTTTAAACCCACACACAGAGAGACTTCGTTTTGTGCTGGGGGCAGCCCCATGGAATGCCTGCCGGCGGTACCAAACGTAAAACCCGAAACATACAGAAGCATAGAAATTAAAATAGAGGCAAATATGTATTTAGTGCTTCAGAATTATGGAGATCTTGAACATTAGATAACGGTGGGAAAAATTTTGGCTGCTAGTTCGCATGGTACTGTTAAATACGATGAAAATAGAAGAACACAGAAAATAGAAGTTTCTTAATTTTGTCCATCATGCCGAATTCATGTTGAAAGAATACACACTATTTTCGAAAAACAGAAAAAGTACTGCTCGTAACTCATGGGTAACTTTGCTGGCATAGGGCGTGCAATATGCAATTTCCTTTCTACAGAAATATCTAACGACGGAAATATTCTGTCTTGTTTGTCTTCAAATAGAAAAACTGTAGTAACAAATGGTTATTATAAATTAGCTTTAGGTATATAAAGGAAATTTTCCCTTTCTTCACTATAATTAACGGCTTTTCAATATTTTTTTTTTTAAATACAAACGTAAAACGAAAATGAACGGACAACGATTTTTAATTTCAAAATTATTAAGAGGTACAAGTTATGCACTCGCTTTGAAAAATGCAGATTACAAGCCAATAGGCTTATTGTAATTATCAAGCGTAATTAAAGTAGAATGTTCAATATAGTTTGATAAATGTGTAGGTCCCTTAGTTTCTACAAATAAAATGAGTGTTTTGAATTTTATATCGAGCACTGGCGTTTGGATTACTTAAAGCGGCCGGTTTTCACCATGAAGTGAAATGTGCCCGCGCCCGATTCCTACACTAAAATAAATTGTTGGTCATTCACCGACTCTCAACCTGGGGTGTCTCATAGCTTTCCACGCTTAAGTTCTCTAGACATTATTACTAAAGCCGTAGGATGTGATCTTCCGCCAATATTGGCATAGAGAGATATTTTTTCCCTCGTAAGAAACATCTTTCCCTTCTAAGGCTTTTAACGATCTGATGTTTCAGGTCATCCCTGCTGTGAGCTTTCTTGTGAAAAAGTTCTCTAAAAAAACGTTTCATGCGAATGTCCAGATTCAAACACCCAATTTATGATTATCTGGCTTATGGTGCCAGCCCCGCTATCGCTTCATGTAGTGATAAGGTCCGAGTTCGCCGGAACTCCGTTTCGAGTCCAGACCACCTTAGGTGTTCCTGCCCTTACGTAGGAACACCTAAGGTGGTCTGCGTTATTGCTGCACAGCCGTGGTAACTAACTTCTATGGTATACGCCACAGAATCCATAGGCAATGAGAGATTATGTTCAACATAACGTTAGATTGACTAGGTTCGTAAGGACGACTTTCATCATACGTCGACATCTGTTTGCACTCAACCCCACGAAACAATTTAGATACTGCTAACGGATAGAAGCCGAATAAGCTCGGAGGGATCGGTGTGATAGCTAGGTCTCTAGAGCGGTACAGTATTATATGTAGTCTCAATGTCAGTATGTTTTACTTTTAATTTGCAAATGCGGAAAGTCGTTTCGTGTCTTACGGTAGCTTTCATTTGCGCGTTTGATTTTTTTTACGTTTGAACTTGATGCGGCGTTTTCAGTCGTTTCCAGCTTTTTTTTTTGTTATGTAATCATTCTTACAGCACCTATCTTATTTTACAGATCATCTTTCCCGTAAAACGTTTGGCGATAGTCGAAATCTCTGCTTGTCGTTTATTACTATATATATACATAGGGTGGTGCGTTCAAATTCGGGCAGGGAAGGCATCCGTGTATCGGCTGTCCTGGCAATAGCGCGTCATTTTAGAAACTTGAGTGGAGATTAACTACTATACAACGTTTTCACGCGGGACAAGCTCCCAACATCAACGGTCTAGGCTAGTGCTAGCTTTCGCGCGGCTTCCGAAACGGAAATCAGAGAAAAATTTTCGTAGAGCAAACTTGAAGGTCCTTGACAGAATTTAGATTTGCAGGGATCAAAAATCCATTAAAGTGGCTTAAAAGCCATTCTTGGCAGGTTTAAATTTTTCGTATGGAATTAATAGCCATTTTGAAGAGCAAAATATCGATTTTCTTGATCAACTGATTAGGTCGTTCGGAGTAGTTCCAATTTAGATCATTTTGCATTTTTTGACCATTCCGCGTTCTATTTGCTTCCACTTTTAGAATATTCGATCTACTGTCATTTGACAATGCTGGTATTTTTCTGTATGCGGAGTGTTCAAGGAGCGCTTCAACGCGTTATGTATATTGCTTGAAGTTATTATCGAAAAGTTATTTGTGGACTAACGACGGAACATTTTATACAATAAAGCTAAGCTCGGCTATATAAGAAACACTGAAAATATGCCGAAATCTATACCATACATACATTTATATACATATATTGTTATAGATCGCATTTATTGAAACAACGTACGTGTGAGATATTTTTTCACTATTTTACGTTGTACGCAGGTTAAAGTAATAAAAATTAAAAATAAAACGTATATTAAGCGAAAGCTGCTTGCGGAACCTGATGATAATCGGGCCCATCGTATTGAATCCAACGGAAAATATCAGTTCATAGTCTACAAAAATTACACATTTCGTGGGCATAGTGCTTTATTTAAATGTTTTTTTTTATAACGTCATTACTAATGTTTTAGCTCCTGGATACGACTAGTAGTACACGTAGGTCTATATTCAAAGAAACAAAATCATTCTGTGTCCTTCGGTAAAATGGCAGAAATAGGATATATTGCATTCAAGAAGCATCCTGAATGCAGTCATCACATATAGATAATGCTATAAGATGAACCCTTAAATGCAGAAAGCCTGCACGAAATGTAGGTGCTGACAAAGTACACTCTCACAATCACGAACATCTGACAAAACCTACTTTAGCCGGAGTATATCTTTGGAAAGCACATTCAGCTAAACCTGAGTAGGTCTTCAGTCAAAAGAACTTTAAAGATCCAAATGGGATATTTGACGACAAGTCGTACGGAGAGATTAGCAGCGACTCATGTGAGATTTCTGTCAAAATAAGTTATTAAAAAACCCGCATTAATATAGGAAAGACAAATCATGGAAGAAAACGTATACTACGCACAACGTATCGAATGATGCTAGGCCCTCATACAATTTTACCCCGAAATGTCATATAAGCTCATGTCCTATGTTTTAGACCTTAGTTCAATTTACTTCATTTTAAAAGCGAAGATCCTAAGAGGCGATACTAAGCAATCTGTATGTTCAGATGAATCGGTTTTTAAAGACTATCAGGTAACAATCGTAGAACTCTTCAATTTAACAAATGCGTGAAAAAGAATTGGTCTGAAAAAGTCAAATGTCTTTAAAATTCTTTTTTTTTTGGCAACTTGTGACAATATCGCTAATAAAATAATGTCCAAATGCGACCTCAAAAGTGCTAAGCTCTAAGCTCGAATGCTGGTTATAAAATTTTGAAGTTAGCTCTTTCTGGTCGCTTGCAATGAAGTGGAGCACCAGGTGTCGCCATCACGTGACGCTTTGAAGGTTTGTGCAATCCATCCTGCAATAACATACGCGTTTGTCACTTTCTGAAGCTCTACAGAGGCCAATTTAAATTCATTTTTTAGGTCTGCTATACGTTACATAAATTATGACAAATATGTGGTAAAACTGTCTGTCTGTGGTTCCGCTGGCTGTCCATCTTAGTGATCTGTTATAGCTCCATTTCAGATCATACAGTTAAATAACCAGCTGTCAATCATTTTATAAACATCAATACAGATCAGCATGGACTGGATTGCTTCTTGTCGACCAAACAAGTGACGGTGTGCAACATGGAGCAGCGGTTTGACAGCGCCTAGGGGCTTCGACAATAGTGACATGTTATGGTCAAACTGCCCCAAACCTTTCGCGCTAGCAGTAATTATGTTCATCCGCTTTGTGTCCACACTCGTATCTATCTCTTGATGCTTCAACATGGCTTTTTAGCGTTGCTGTTATTGTGTTTTTGCTCGGCGTGCGTTATAGCCCTCTCGTCGATGCGTATACCGTCCTTCGCAGATGACGGCTGTCGCTGCGCCAGGCTGCAGCTGCCCGATTTCGCTTAAATAGCGGCTCTACGCTGCTTAAAATTAGGATCGCGGTAGCACAGGGAAGCATTACATCAAAACATCATCGAAGTCGACATGCAAGCTTCACAGGTACTGCAGTACGAAGTGTAGCATTTAGTACGAGATATTGCTGTTGAAAAAGAACGCTTTACTAAGTGCCGAAGTCAAATTAGCTGCAGGATCGAGGGATTTACAATCAGTATGATCAGGTACAACCTATTCACGCATTGGATGCTTTTGCTAGACGTCGAAAGTCTGCTTCTGATGACATCTGTTCTGCAGTGTGGTGTGACGAGTTGTTGATTACGTAGCTAATAAGTTGTTTATATATTCTTCGACAAATAAACGTTGGCAGATTAGGTTTGGGGAACGAACAAAAACACCGTTAGGTATCGCTATGCCTCTTAACACATGTAGAATTATTTTGTGTTTTTTTTTTGACGTGTTTTATAAAAGCTCCATCGTATTGGCATTGTATCAGACTAAATTCTAGCAATTTTCAATCGAGCGTTTGCTATTGTTGCAGTTTCTCCCATACTCGCTAATCAACATACTACTCAGACGAAACAGAAGAAAAGTCTGAACTAATATATGAAGGGCCAATTCATGTTAGCGTTTTTAACATCGAGTTGATCATCTATATAGAATTGGTGCGATTTATGCGCATTAGAAGAAACGCTAACAAGCGTATTCCGATTTCATAGCTTTATTGTACCTGAGAACTAAGCAGAGAAAACCTCGGTAGGCGCTGTTGCACCTAAATAAAACCGGTTCGACTAGGTACATCGCGAAATACAACGAAAAACTGTTTGAGAACAAAAACGGTAATTACCCTGTGAACAATCCCACAGCACTAAATGGTGACGGTTAAAGTAGCAGTCTTTCTGTACCGGCCTGTCTAAGCTACCTCTGTTCCCGGTCAGAGCAAATACGACAGACACGTTCACCGATTTCTTTTTGTGCAGGTGCTCATCGCTGGCGGCTTATTTGCATGTGGGGCAATGATCGCACCAGCGTTCGGCGAGGATGGCTGGAATCGCGGAAAACTCATCCCATCGGCGACTTACACAATCGGAAACCACATCAAAATTTCTCATAACGGACTGACGATTGGGCTGCCTAGATTCGGTATGGAACAAAAGCTGTTTCAATAAGTATAATTTTTGCTATTCGTAGACCTCAAAAATCATCCAGTCCAAGTCAGCTCTGTATAATTAGTCATTGACTTTCCCTTGTGATTTAGCTTTTAATTTCCTTGAGATAATTTCCTGTCGTACGTAGACGCGCTGAGCCATATCTTGTTCGGGAAAGCTGACTTGGCTTAACCCTTAATACCGCAATCCTGAAATAATTTTATCTTGGGAAAGGTGTGTAAGTTAAATACATATGTGTCTAAGCATAGTCCTGTACATCGAGATCTACGTAAGGGTTTATTCCTACGAAAATAATAAGCGTGTTCCGCGATACTGTTTCATAATCCAGGCCTGTTTAATCGTCACGGCCATAAACATGAAAAGGTCATCGTAAACAACCACCATCACTATGTCGTCCCATGGCCAGTCCATGACCCTTGGTGGTGAAGGGCAACCACCTACTGAGACAGCCTTTGTCACGTTACAAGGGTGCTCCTAAAGCTGCCGCTAAACGATACGTCTGCTTGTCCCATGGCTGAATGCGAGGGTCGATCATAGACAAGATAAGGTGTTGTGTTTAAAACACATATACGAAAAAAAAGCGACGAAAAACGTAAGCGAGAGGGAAACTACGATAACGCACTATGGACATTGTAATTAAGTTATCTACTTATCTAGGTTCAATCATTTGTACACATGAAACGGAGCTTTGCCTCCTCGCCTCCTGTAGCAGCGCAATAAGCTCTCTGCTCAGTTCTGTATATTTATTGTAGGTGTTTCGGTTTCTAAGATGAATTTATCTCTCATCTATTGTAATAAACGGTATTTTACTGTTTGTACATCTGTGCATTTTCTCTAAATTATATCTTATACACGATCAGCAAGTTTAGATTGACATTATTAGCCGTTAACGACTACGTTCAAAAGTTTTAGCTGTTTCGAAGGAAAAGAAGTAAGGATTTTTACCTCCAGATGCTTGAAAGTTGAACTTATAATGTCCAGTGTAAAGTACAAACAGAAAATGTTCCTGTACGTTAACATGTATCATGTAATACATGCTGCAATATTGTTCCGTTAAGGAGCATTCATGCATTATCCATGCCTTTTTTTTTTGGATCCAAACGTGTTTCTAGTCAGGATGTAAATTGCTACATTCACTACTCTCTTGGTGGTAATATGTTTGAACTATTATAGAAGTGGTCGGCGCATAATTTCTATACAGGTTGATTTCAACACATTGATTGATAGAAAACAGCTAGCAGAGGAATGAGCTCTACGATTTATAGAAGGCTCGTTGCATTGAAACTGTCAGTATAGCTAAGAACTGCTGTTTACGGTGTTTCGTCCGTTAGATTATATTACCAGCAAGTTTCTTGTTTACTTGGATTACTGATCCTGAATATAGCAATGGTAACATTGACATAGGACGTAACATGCTTATGAGCTCTCCAGTCATCCTTCGATGCTGAATAAACTGAGATGTCTAAGCGTCTCGAGCATTCGTTTATAGATGCAGAAAACATGGGACACATCAACGATTATCGAGCAAGACACAAACAAACAATAGATTCGAAATAATAAATGTAAACGTTTGATCGACTATGATATAGTAACCCTTCCCAGCTATAGATACATTGTTTGCTAGTTATACTGAATTGGTCAGCTTGTAATTTGTGTCTAGACTCTTTCTAGCTAGCTAACATGTACTCAAGGATAAACAATTTGACCAATTGAAATTCTTACGTACCCGTGATAATTATTTGCTCGATAGGATGATGATCATTACGAGTATCACGACTGTGAGAGCAACGTAGAGGAAAATCCGAAACTTTCTCCTTCGAGCGGACGACCGATTCGTTCGAGCCTACGGCGTTACGAAAAGACAAAAGTTCACAAAGAGTAACCGATGAAAAAATCGTCGGCAAAGGGATTCGTCTCTGACTCTACCGAGTCGAAAAACAATTGGACGTAGAACCTTGACGACACGAGGGCAAATCTCCAAGCTGTGCAGGAGACGTATTTGTTCCATACTAAGTACACGTAAGAAAATATTGATTAATAATTAGTTACATGTTGCGTATACCTGTAATACAATTTGATAAAAGAATTGCGGGTAAAAATAACACAAAGCAAATCTATACAGTTTTGCACTACACCTTGACAAGTTCATCTCCGCCATCGTCGACGAACACGACCGCGTCCTCAACGTTCTCCGCAATTCGACTGACGGCCTGTCGCGAAAAATCGAAAACATCTCAGACACAGCGTTAATGTCGCGCATGCCTCGTACCGAATCGTACGTTCTTTAACGTTAAATTTAAAGGATACGATAAACAACATCGTCGTTGTATGACTGCTAGAAAAAATCCAATCGGAACCAGCCTTTCATTGGGCATATGAACGGACGCAAGCAAACGTAATTTAGCATACATTCTTTTTTGTTTGGTGATCCAAAGCTCGACATCGATTAGAACTCTACGAATGCATCCAGTCGCAAGCAGATTATTATAATTCGGTATAAGCAGAACCCACGAGTGTACAGACCTTGCCCTGTGTTTCAACAAAGACAGCAACTTCAGTGAATAATTCGGTAATATAACGAACGGATTCCTCCAGGTTCTCAATATCCTTTTGCCGATTTCGCATCTCATCGAGAACGAAGCGCGCTTCGTCAATCTTAAGTTGTGAGGCCGCTCCGATAAATAAGTCGTTCTGGTACAGGTATAAAAAGATGAACATAGGACAGGATTACGAAACGTATATACGTTGGGATACAAATTCATTTAGGCCTGCATTTACTTTGTTTCAACTAAGAAATCGTTAATCAGGATATATTAAGTCGTTTCATAGCTAAACTGTGAGCCCACCTCAGTCCCTGGCCTAAACCCGCAAAGAGGAAGGTTACATCGTAAGGGGTTAGCTCCAATGGGAAATACTATATGCTATTTATTTTTCCATTGCTTATTGGCTATCTTGTTGCATCAGTAAGATGCGGACCCATGATACCTGCGTTCCTAATTGACAGAAAGAAGCTAAACATAACAGTATGCGTGATCTACCACAGCCATATTAATTTAGCCTACACAGGGCAAAGCTTCCTGGTTTCATTTTCAACCATATGCGTCATTCGCTAAACAAGCGTCTTATTGCTGCACCATCTCCGAGGCCCTGTATTTCCGTCAGCTGAGTTTTCGGGCCCATTTTATTGACGACAGACATTTTTGTTTAAAAGCTTTTGTATTATGGACTCGGCATTTTAATATATGAAAAGAGAAAAAAAACCCTTCATCACGCATGCAACCGAGATTCAACACGAAATCAAAATTATTACAATATGTCGACCCTGCATTCTGACACAAAAGTCAAATTTTACTTCTACGCGAACAGAAAAAATAATTTATCCCTTCCTATTCGTAATATTTGTGGCAGGCATGTGACACTAATTAATTAGCGATATCTAACGTTTTTTTCTACAAATAAAAAAAGTTGAGCTTTAGGTCAAGCAAATGTTCCTTTTGGAGCTTCTATTGCATACAACAATGTAATCTTTCTTTACGAAGATCGCTTGGGCGGTCGCTAATAGCTATAAGTAGAACCAGTGCCGTTGCAAACCACAATCATTCTACTATGGCCTATGTGTTATTCAGTAGAGAATATACCATCGACGAGGTATAAAGTGCAGATACAATAATAAGTTTTTAAACAAAAAAAACACATAGAAGGTTAATTATAATATATTATTACTATATATATATATATATATAATTACTATAATGTCGATAGGAGGAATACAACACTTTTTCGCCAAAGACCCTTTCAGGTTCTATAACCTACTGACTTGAAAACATCTGAACTAACATAACTTTGACAAAGGCAACTTGAATACTAAATTAATTGCCAGATGCAAAAAAAACAAAGGCATTGTGCAATCGTAAGTGTCTGCCCTACCCTTGCCAACATTTTTTCGACTTCGTCGTCAGTAGACGCGTGGCCCATAATCTTTAGCTGTCTGTGAATACGTTGTTTACATTTGTCATGATAAGCCATCTGTTCCGAATTGAAATCTCTGGCGAGATCCCCGAATCTCTGTGATATAGCCTGATACTGGCACCATCGCATACGACCCCTCGCCGAACCATCATTTGAGCTAACTGAACCTAGGACAATCAATTTTTTTCGTTAAAAGTTAGCGAAAATATCATGCATTAGCAGATTCTATGTACCAATATTTTGCTTGAAACAAGTTTTGCTTATAGAACAAAAATAGACTCATGGAAAAGCTAATATAACTTAAAACATATAAGCTTTTTTTTTTTACTCCGGCATGGTTCGCCTTACCCCTAATTTGTTGGAGTAATCCTCGAACACTTGCCGCGGTCTGTCGAAAATCCTGAATAATAGGGTTTATCCCGTCACTTTTTTTGTCAATGGAGGTGAAAGCGTCTGCGTGCGCCATGGCCAGCTTTTTTATGAGACCCTACAACGACATCGTCATGCGCGAATTAATGTAAAATCAAAGGAAACCTACGTGATACGGTATCCCCTTAGGATGCGTTTTTATAGAAGAGGAAAAATCATTCAGCAGAATTACAGCTTTATTTATTCAATGCTTTAGAATGCTACCTATATACTTTTCCAACCGGGACAGACAATTCTACCTCGGCTGCTTTGCGCATTAGGAAATAACAAGGAAACAAATTTTCTACTTTTTGTTAATCTTTCCGAGAACACTCTGGAACAACATCCTGCTAATTTAGCTGGTCAAAAAATAGGAGCTAAGCAAATGAAAATTCCTAATGCTTAGATACGCGTGGGCTGCATATACCTGCATCCGGGTGAGGTCCTCATGGGCCTGGCTAAAGACCATCATTGGCGAGAATTCGGTGGCGAAGATTACGGCTTGCAGCTCTGGTAACCGATCTTGCGGCATGGTTATAATATATAGTATTGAGGACGACTATATACGGAGACACTGTGCGAAATATCCGTATACTGCACTCCGACACACACAGACTATTGAACCTTCAAGAATCTTATCAGCCTGTTTCAATATTAACCAAGTAGAACACGTTTTCGAGTAAAAATTCGTCTGCTAGTAAAGATTTCCAGTTCTATAGCGCGTTTAGTGCGAACAAGACGAGACTGTCATCACGGCTTGATGGCCGTCAAAAGGTCAAATGCACGGAGCTCCTCGCCTCCAACAATTATAAGATACTGCTCAAACCGAGCGCAGCCGATGGCCGTTATTTATGATTAGAAACGATACGACTATAGTACATAAGCGCGGATAGATTATTAAGAGGAATGTAAATTAAACGGGCGTAAAATCATTGATACCTTACCTAGATAAAGAATTACCATGCATGTAATTATGTTAGCTCGCATCTTTCTTTCTTAGGACATTCCGCTATCGGACAGTGAAACACACACATGTTGACTTCTGATGAGGCTTCTTTTGATCGAATGCTAACATTGATAAGGAACGGTAGCCGGGTTTTTGTGCGTCACTGTGTCGTACGTTTCCAACAAAATCAGAGCTAACATATTCTGCCCAGGAAAATACGCTATGTAATGCTTTTATAGTTCGAAGTGTATAGTTACATAGCCAACCACATTAGTCCGGTAGAATAATGGCTAGGATGATACCAAGATTGAGTACTGAACTCTTGTTACGTCAATATGCAATTAAACTATCAAGCCTAGGTGGGTTCCGCTCCCTCGAGCCTCTACTGCTATAAAATTAGAGTCCCACCGGCTTACCAATCACCCGTCTTTACAGTGTGTGGCATTTACGCATTCCCTTTCCCGTTCGGCTGCCGTTGGGAGCTGGCTGCCTGCCTGCACTAAGTATGTCTAGTCCTTATATATATAGATATATAAATATCTATACGTATAGCTACGATCGCTACATAATATGTGCTGTTTTCAGCCTGCACTGCTTACTCATGCTAGGCTGTTAAGCTTGATAAAACTGTAGGTCAACATACTTCGATGAATATTGTGATACTTCCTAGTTTATCACGCCTGTGTTTACAATATGCTTAGAACTACGGCTGCAATTTACCTTGGCCAGCCAAGAGATGTTCATTGAGTCAATTGATCCGTAAGTCTTCGACAAGTGTATATTATTTTATTTATTAGAACTGCCGAAAATGCACAACTATTCATGCAGGCATAAGGTATAAACATGCCATTTCGTTCCGGCCGTCATGCGAAAATCTGCGAACGGTTTACCTAAAAAGGGCAGGAGATGTGGGACTTGGTCAAGGAGAAAAACCTGGGCAATTAAGATTATTAATTATTACCTCAAGATAAGCACGGCCAAACCTAAACTAAACTACTCCACCTTTTGTGGCAGAAAACGTAATGCAGCTTAGAAAGGTGTCACCGGTCCGGCAAGACGAAAGAAATACGGGTAAGAGTGACCCGGCAAGCACCCCCCTAATTAGCACGGACCGAGCTCTTAATAAAGAGAACTGCAAAAAGAATTGCTCCAATTGTGTAGATATTCAAATAGCCCGCGTTTTCTTTGAATAATTGGAAATTAGAAACCGATCTTGACTACAACTTCTTCACTAAACACGACTAAAACCGTTAAGAGACATCGAATTGAAGCCGTTGGAAAGGTGCTCCATCCGATAGATTAGACGTAGACACAAGCAAGCCTCTTTAATACTGTAACACTTTTCAAGATCGCAACTCAAGATGAGTAAATAGAGGACTATACTGAATGCTGCACGTAACATCGTGCGCCAACTCGAAACACCAGCTATCAGTGAGCGACTAATAAAGCGGCTGAAAGGTCGGCGGAACAGGATTAAGGCAACAGGCACACAAATGACGCGTTTTCGTTGGCGGCCTATAGAAATGTCCAGAGATGGAAGTATAGTCCTGATAGCCGCAAGCCTCACACGGCGAAAAAGCTGTACGGGAAAGAGAACCAACAGAAAGTGATGTTTAATCAAGTTCTTTATCTATCAGTACAGATACGGCTCTTAATAAGTGTATAATATTTGTATCCTAACCCATTGTTTGTATTAATCAATTACCCTATCCAGTGACTTATTATAAAAGAAAATTTACCCAAGTGTCAAGCTAACGAAGATTGTAATATGAGCGGATTTTTCACTATAGGGCTCTTCTTAATAACTTTTGTACTTCAAAACGGAGGCCATGACGTCACACAGTAACACATCGAGTCCAAGAGATACGTATGGAGGTTCCACGGCGACGAGTCCGACCACGCTTACCTCATGGCTATCATCGTAGTCTTCAAAGAAGCAATCGAGTAGAATTTGTGAGGTGTTTTAAATTGAGAATTAGCCCAAATATATCTTTACGGTGACGCAGCAAGGTGCGGTTGAATTAACACCACCGGTGCTACTTAATTGGATGCTCATTCGTTTCACTGATTTGGCTATGAGGTTACCTAGGGCGAACTGGAAACTTATTATAGTTCTTATTCTATCCTAACGTTGTCCATAATACGCTGAATACGTCGTAACTTTAATCTGTCCTTTCAAGTTCTTAACTTCAATTAGCAACTGGAACATGATTACTTACTGAAGTATTCTTGCATACGTCAGGGACGTCACGCTACAACTTTCACTCGTAGACAGGATTTCCACGAAATGAACGAATGTCAAAGTGTCTTTCCATGTTTTTTATTGCACAGAAACTAACATTTACTTTTTTTTTTTTATATATTTATCGGTTTTCTCTAAACAGGCATACCGTGTGATATGAAATACTTAGCTAATCGAATTGAACGTTTATACAGGCAAATTACATTAAAAAACGCAGGTGGAAGATCTCTATATGTTCAGGATCTTCAATCTTTGCGCGAGTTACAGTCGTTTTTCCCGAGCTCAATGGGCCGTACAAAACGCTTCATGCAGCTAGTGAGAAACTCAAAACACAGATGCTGCTCTAGCCAAACTAAGCAGAACCAACTTACAATCAATAGAAAATTAAACTGTAAATGAACCTGCAAAAGGGATCATAGCTACCATTAGCACTTTGTTTCTTCAGTTGAATCTTCCTCATACTAAGATATATTATGATAAGCTTCCTTATAATAAGATCCGATTGCCAATTCGTAGCTATAAGGAAGCTCATCATAACACTTCGGCTGCGCAGATCTCGCGGTCGCTACCGCACGAATTAAAAGCTCACAGCTTCAAATTTGTTACCCGCGAAATCGACGCATCGATAGCAACAAACTAAGGCGCAATCTCCTTTTAGAGTATCTTAGTGTAGGATTTTTTTTAATTAATAGTTACCTTCAAGTCTTGAAATGATTGGCATTATGATCCTAGCTAAGGAATATATAAATTTTTTGTATAGAGCTATAGCCACTCCCTTATAATTATTAAGCTTTTCATATAATGCTGGTCGTTTTATTAGTTTTCCTAAAGTTAACCTCGGTTGTGCACGTCATTCAATGTGAGCCTGGTTCTTTCATATATGCAAATATACAAATACATATCGAAATAATGATTTATACATATTTTGTTCGAAAAGCCTGGGTCGCTTTTCATGTTTGACTTACTGATGTCTACCAATCTTTCACAAATATAAAACGCCGAACTGGAGCAAGAGAGTAACGGGCCATTTAAGGGATCGTTTTCTTGCAATTTCAATCGTACTTTCAATAAATGATAATATCCTAGGCCCAACTGCATCTGGCCAGATTCTGCTGTGGGGATAACAGCTATTAACCGTAATTTTTTATTAGACTTGAAAATGCAAAAGTAAGGATAATTAGAAAAACAATAATAATTAATATGAAACCTGTAATACGAAAAAGTTTTTTCAGTTTGTCTTGTTCGTACCGGGCAGCCCGTTCTATCTCCTTTTTGGCCTGAAAGGACATCAATAAAACAAATAGTCATAAGCACACAAAACTACAATGCCTATCTTTGACTGTGTACACTTTGTATGTGCAATGTATTTCGCAGAACACCCTTTTTCATGATATCGCACAAGCTGCCTAGGTTTTTTACGGCACGGCCATTAAGCGTTGTGTATTATAGCATAATCTACTCACTCGAAATAGCAGCTGCACTGTCGTGCTGGAGTTCTGCGTACCTGTTCAATATATAGAGCGGAAAATTTGGTTTTTCTGTTTGCGTGCATGTCGTCTTAGCGTCGGAACACCGGACCTGCTTTGTCGTACGAGTTCAATCGGGTTGGCTGCCTCCAGTTACCGCTTTCACATACAGTATTCATTAGCAAGCAACCAGTGGCGTTTTGAATTCAACGGGAAGCTTCAATCGCTTGAACTTAGAACAAATGGCGTGTGAGTGATGGGGCTCTCAAACCCTGCTAATTGCAATGGAGGCCATAGCTGAGGTCTATGACAACAACGCACACAGCCGAAACCAGTTTGCAATCACTATAGACTATGTTTATTTCCTCACATCTGCTTCATGCCAGGATGTTCAGAGTAGATCAGCGGTAACGCTTGTCTTTGCATTGAGTGCAATAATCCGAATTTGGTTACACTTCCGTGAGATTTACGTTGACCTGTGCGATTTTTGCTAGCTTTTTCTAATTGTGAAAATCTCACAAAAACAGTGACTTTGACCAGGCCGCATACACTTTGCTTGTCTGATACATCGTTTTGAGAAAATAAACTTTTCTTTCCAAAACATTTACGAAGAATAATTACACGTTAAAACTAGATGCATCGTTATTTTATAACAAACGAGCGAAAAACAGCATCGAAGCGGCGATTGTGGCTAAGTGAAATGAGCCGGTGCGTCTGCAAGAACATTTCTCTCGTATCGACGAGGTGGGGACTTCAAATAATCCAAAAGCCACCACTGTAATGTTACGTGCTTGAACTAGCCACACAAAATAGTGAGGAGTAGCATGTTTGGTAAGCCCTCCATGCAACGTTCGTCTCACTTGTTTCTCAATATGGCACTGCGTATCATCCTGCCCAAGTAAACACACTTCAAATCTGACCGCAAAGTCTGTGTAAGCGACACAGCCCGGCCTGATTATGCTTCAGAAAATATAAAAATAATTTTTCGAGTGAAATACGTTAAAAGATAACATTGCATCAGAAGTATCCTTCACGTTTACAACTGCTAAGTAAATAAACCTCCTTGGGTATTCCTCGGTCCTAGGTGCCCCCACCGAATAGTCCCTATTGTGTTTCTTGATCTCATTTTTGTCACGATAAGGCACCTACATCTATTTACATTTTCCATGGCAGGTAACATTTTCAACACAGTCAACGTTTGTTTCTCTGCTGTAGGTAGTTGTTCAAATTCGCAATTTTATCCACTTTGTAAATAATTTATTCACCAGCCTACTTTATTCATTAATTTGCTATTCTTATTAATAGATAGCGGTAGACGATAGCCTGCTAGCATGCCATTGTCTATGAGAAATGGCCAAGGCTACTCACATCTTGTACATGAGCTGAAAAATGTTGTTTGCCAAAAAATATTAGTCATCCAAGAAAAGAGAACTAGGAGTTTTGTGGCATATTGTAGCCATCGTCATCGTAGGAGATGTCATACAAATCTAATGTTTGGCGATCCATATTTCGTTACCATGGTGACGATTAAAATGGCTACTACATACCTACACGATGCATTTTATTATTTATTTACTTACTTGTTACGCTTGTCTGAAAGATAAAGGGAGGATAGATCTATTCCCTGTGAGGTATGAGACTGCGGGTTTGAAGGTGTCACACTTATCCCTCTATTGTGAGACACGGCTATCTCTTGTAAAATTCCCCTAGCGACGACCAAAGTAGCAGCCCACCTCTGAATAAGTTTAATATTAGGCTTGTAGCGCACCTTCTGAAGTTATATTCGAGCTCCATGGCTAGCTGCAGTCATGAGCTCCTATGCGCAATGCCACAGTTCGAAGTCGTTGCTAGAATATCCGGAAAATCCAATATTTGTTATTAAAAAAGCCAATCAAATTTTTGAAACTGGTCACCTAAAAAGTGACGGCAAATTTTTTCAGCTGGAGATAGACACTTCACTACAAGACAAAAAGGTCTGCAAAAAGCCCATATTTTACCCTATATGTCAGGCGCTATGGCTTATTTTACGGAGGGCGGTCAAGGCTCTTTTTGCCTTATTAATAGTCAGTGATCGCATTCATCACGCAGACTGCCCAAGTAGCCGGAAGGCTAGCGCAGTAGGTTTATAGGCACGATGCTTCAGTTTTCGTACTTGCATAAGACTCATGCGTCTTTTGAGACAATTGATAACTAGCTTGGCTCGATCTGTAACATAATATAAACAACTGATTCGTACAGCGCCGCAAGCTAATAAGGCAGTTTTAGCAGCACAGATGTTGTGGAAATCACAAAATACAAGTCAATAAAAGCCGCGTAGTCCCAAATTAAAAATGCCGACCCAGGAACGAACAACGTTAGCTTAGCGACACTGAAAAAAAGATGCCCTAAAACGCATACTAGTTGTTGGTTATCCATCACAGCATTGGCTTCAAATAAGTCAAGTGGGCTATTAGAAACATTGATTCTGTCAGCCTTTCGAGGTCCCTCTGTGAGGAAAGCTGTTTTTCTATTATTACCTTCACTTCATCAAGCATACTATACTCGATGAGAGCGAATTCTCAACACATTTAAGTCATATTAATAGTTAAAAAAGCTGCATTCAAGCGGTAAATGTCGCATTGTTTTTTAGAAAACTACATGCAACATTTATAGCAATAACTTAATTTGCATGGCGTATTTGTTGCCTCGTCACATCACCATGTGATCGTTCGTACCAAACACCACCATGTCCTGCCAAGCATGATTTGCAAAAAGATGCGCAGAAGAAAACTTTTGTCTGTTTGAAAGGTTCCCTCATCGAGCCCCTGCTTCAAAAACCTATTCACCTACCTTTCCCTTCCCGACACTTGTCCTGGGCAAAAAAAAAATCTAATTTTGTTAACGTTCTACGCGTAATTGGGTTTCCACGCTTTAAAGACTTTAGTTCGAACTCCACATCCTATCGGGGCTTTACCTTATCGGAGCCTGCTGCAGGATCAGAACGGATCCTGGCTGAACTCGGGAAGATCGACAGCGGTTCTGAAGACCATAACATGGACACTATTTAGGGTACAATTAGCATTGACAACAGGTATTTATCTGTGCGCAGGCTCGAAGTCGCTACAAGTGAACCATGCGTACAAGCTCACGACCATCCATTAGCTCTGAACCCGTAACACGACAAAAACAGAAAGGTATTGTGTTTGATGAACAACTTCTTTCTATGGCATATTATTCTCGGTGCACGAAAAAATTGGGCAGTACTACAGAAAACGCAGTGTCACCGCCTACGTCGTGCGCCATAGTATTCAGAATTAAATTAATAATAAAAGTATCAAAAATTAAAGCGGTAATGGTAGTGGACTATCGAACCTCTCAAACTGATAGTAACAGTATAACCAGCACTATTACCACAAACGACGCTTTGAGGAGATGTACTCAGAAGTATAGTTTTATCCTTACTTGCAGAAAATTAGAAAAAATCGGCCGACCATAATCCGTAGTTGAACCTCATTATAGGTTTACTGAGCATTGCATTGTCTGAATCTTATGCTTGTAGATAATTATCAGTCGTCCTAAGGAAGGATCGTTGTAACGTAAACTCTACGTATTAGAAATTTGCAAATGTAAGAATTTAAGTGTGAACGATTGTTACTGTCTATAGTGATCATTGTCAGATATCTTGGAATTATTTTATATTGCCATACCGTACTGTTTCGTATGCTTGAAAAGACAATGGTTCCAAGAGGCCTTAATCTACATTAAAAAATTCACCGTATCAAAAAAATTCACGATTATGTTGAAGACATCGTTTCAACATAGTCTAAAGGGTACCATTTCTCACAATGTGCAGCGATTTGAAATGCACGAAGAGAAGACACACTGGTTAAAATCAGAGCTGCTTGCGTATTGATGTCGTCACAAAGTTTATATTAGAATTTGGAGAAACAGATGTGTCATCCATATCTCCATTTGCCAGTGACTTTTCCAAATTGTGCCAACGAACGAGTGCTGCCTCGCTGCTCGACACCCTACCGAACCATGGTAAAGTCGATCGCTGATGCTTGCTGTTATGCATAAGTAACCTTCACGGTCCAGTTCGCTTCTTGTTTGACATGCTCGGATCAGTTGCATCTGTCTTCACTAAACTGATATTGAACTTCGATCTACAGAGCTTTAACTCGTACGAAGATACTTCCTTGCAAACCACCTTGAAGCTTCATAATGCATAGGTTCAATTGTAGTGACGTTATTTGACGTTATTTGCTTCAACTCAAGGCAGTCTATTCTACAGATTGAAGCTTCGCACTTTTATAGGTTAGGTAAAAAAAACGTCCAGGTCCTGCGATGCCATTTGCAGTATAGTTTACAGATAGGTCGAACTGTACTTGCCTAACTTGCCAAACCTAATGCTGCTGAATCGTCGCAATCGTGGCCTTTTGAATGGATTATACGATCCGCGCTTATGGTCTCAAAATCAGCGATGTATTTAGCGGACCTTTAGGCATACTTTTAAGGCTTTTACTCCAAACAGAACCCTTTCGGTTAACCCCCGGATGTTCTGTAACGTAATGCGAATTAAACAATGCTATTTTGCCTATATTAGTTTGTGTTTGCACATTCAATGCTTTAATGGTAATTTGTGCTACCTTAACCTCGCAAAAAATCAAGTTACATGAAGACACTCTCGGCTGTGCATTTGTTACGGTCATCGTTTATTAAGTAACGTTATCACGAATGGATAAAACCCACAAGCATGTTTTATCGACATAAATTATAAGGACGTTAAAAACTGACAGGCTAGCAAATAGGACAGTTTTTCGGCAGAACAATCTTCTGAAGTTTGTGTTTAGAACGATTTTGTTGTGTACTTTGAAAAAGTTTTGTGGTTCGAAACAAGAAAAAACAAAGAACAAATCATCTTACGCGCACCTACAATCAAGCACAAATATGCTAGACAAAAAAAATCACAGAGAAATCTTATTAAAAAGATTTACTCTAAAAGAACTAGTGGACAATTATAAGCGCACATAGAAGGCTCATGTGATTTATTCTAGTTAGCTTTTGCTTTTCGTCTGTTTCTCTCATTCATCCTAGTTATTACATAAATAATTCGTAAAGAGCTAAACGCATTTCGATACTTTTTCTGTATATATATAGTTATCGTTTTAAGAATATTGACAGTCATCACTGGAACATGTCCGTTTGTTGGCCTTAGGCAATCTTAACAAAAATTAATTACCTGTATTAAATGAAGGATAAGATTTCTCACGATCGCGTCCCTAATTAACGGTATTTGGCCACAATTTGTTATTTCGTTGTTACTTTGCTTTTACGACATAATACACTTTAGTGTGTTTTTTTTTTTATTTTTTTCATTTAAACACGTACGCATTCTTACTACACTCAGGCGACAAAAAAAACACGTTTTTAGTCATACCATCATTCGGATTCGCTGTAGGGCACTTCTGCATACTGGTAACCTTGATGGGAAGCTAAGTTGAAACTGACAGTTATCTGTAAGCATTTGGTGAATCATTTCGAGGTCTCTCTAGGAACTAATGCGAACGAACGTTATTTTTTCGCACGACTAAAGGCGTTATTATTATAAATTATAATGATAAGAAAGAAAAATTGCCATTGGCTCTTCCTACAGAAGCGATGATTTTTCCCGTAACTGACGTTACGTTTTACTATGCTTTTTCTTGCTTAGATTTTATTTGACATACTTCGTGATTACGTGAGTGGTCAAAGGTAACACGTTGATGACTATGAAACCTTCTCTCCTACAAAAATGATGATTATAATAATAAGAAGAATTGATAGGCCTATAGCGATAAGCCAGAATTTCTTTTTTAGCGCCGCTTTTTGATATTCCACTGCCTGTGCGGTTTCCTTCTTCGCCTGTAAGAACAATTAAATGTGTTAATCATAGTTATACACATGTGTGTAATCGCATATCACAGTACGACCGTATCTAAATCCTGTAGTAATAACCTAAAATATGCAAATTAATACCATAACTACGCATAACATATTATAACGCCTCATACCATATTGTGATTCTATCCAAAGTACAGGTCAGGAGATTTGCATATCACTTAAAGGTTCGGGAAGACGTACTAAGAAGATCAACTATTTATTAATATACATGCAAATCAAAGTATGGGCGTCAAGCGGCAATTGGAAGGCCAGTCTGTCCTCAGTCCGTATACCTGTTCAACGAAATCACGCGCGTTGGCAACGTTGTACTCGATCCGATTGACCATCTCGCCTTGACCTTCAACGAGAACGGCCATCTCGAGAAACATATCTCGCAATTCGCGTATTGATTTTTCTAGCTGGAGGATATCTTTGTGTCGGGCCTGTACATCTGCTAAGGCCTCTTTCGCTTTCGCCGTCTTCATTATGGTACCCTGAAACAGAAAGGACAATTTAATACAGATGAAATAGGCAGATAAATCTCAATAGTTATTGAAAATTCATAACCGTTAGTAAAAACGAGCTTGATCAAAGTAGCTGCAAAAAGATGACCATTCAAATTAGGATACATGCAATTAATGTTCAGTTTCAATTAACTTAAGTGATATATAGGTACAGCTCATTATTACAGTAAATTTCTGAGACTGCTTATGTTTTCGGAATGAAACCTATGCTTCTTTCCTATATAGGACATATGGTAATCATGCAGCACGTTTAACAGGTATCAGCGTGACCAAGTGCCGCTCTGAAAAATCCACAGGGCCGCATGGTTATTTTGACCGGACGAAAGTGAATCAAACTCACCTGCGTGAACACATCGACATTCCCAGACTCAATTATCTCTTCAAGTTTTTCGTCTGTAGTAGACTGTCCTGTGATAAACAGTTGTCGTTTGATACGATCCTTACACCTTTCCCGATATTCCATCTGGGCGTGATTATAGTCCATCATTATATCCACGAACGTCTGCGGATACGAAGGCAACAGTATAAAAAATCAGAGTGTCAAAGGCTGTCATGGTGTCAAGGAAAACATACACGGGCGCTGATAGTTCGTACAAGAGTAAAAGCGCGCATACAATCAGCGATAGGAGATAGTTTAACTACCTTGCTCAAGGTCTGCTGTTGGATGAGCTTCATTCGCGACACCGCTGAGGTGGGATTTTCATTGATAGCTTCTTCTGCCTTCTGTTTGATCATTTTGAGTGCTCCCTGGATGCGAGAGGCCAACCTTTTCACCTCGGCCATAACGTCTTCCAGCTCATTATTTCTATCCCCCCCGTCCGGGCTCGATAATATCTCTGCATGAATGTCTTTAACATGATCAGTACGTTCGCGCATCCGATCCAAGTCGTCCTGTACCTGTAAGCAGAGAAAAAAAATTATCGTTGGATAGAAACCAGCAGTTATTAATTAGTTAAGTCTGTAATTGTTTTCATTAAGAGAATAAGCTACAAAAATGCACTTTTTATTCCTAATATTGATAGTTTCAAGTTGTTGGCTAGGAACTAGGCATAAAAAAGATTCACGATAAGCTCATTTCAATTTCATATCATGCAGTTTATTTGTATGTTAATTATTTCAAACAAAGTGCAAACAGGTATAGGGTTAGTTCCAACTCGCAAAGGTAAAATTCACTGGACGTCAAATAATAATAGTAGCAGTATAGTTTTACACTTTTTTGTATTAGATATTGTTTGCTAAGAGCTCTACTAGTGGGCCGGCATAGATAATAATGTACATATGCTTGAAATTGCTTTTTTGAACAGAACACGACGAACAAAGCTCAAGCATTTCTCAAAGGTGCGAAGTGAAATTTTCCCTTCTATAAACACCGATCCAATTGTGACTTCAACGCAGAGATTTAGACGCACCAACAGATTTTTTCAAACAACAACGTTTTTCAGTATAAAGGAAAACAGCCTTGACGAATAGTATCGTAGTAATAAGGGAAACCGCTGTATCCAGTTGCTAAAAAAAAGCAAATGCACTTAAGAGTACTTGTTAGAAGAACATCCTTAGAGATATTTTTACTGGAAGCCGACATTATGCACACTTGAAAAGTCAGGTTTCTTTATTTATGAAGTTCATTATTCTCTCATTAGTAAAAAATCGTTCTAAAATGATGCTTGCAAACGTTTTTCTCCTAGAAAGCACTAGAACTTGGATATCTACATAGTTTGCATTTACTGCGTCCGACCGAATTTCCGCTGACATTCGCGTGATAGGAATGACAACGATTGCCTTTAGATGATGTTAATTAATCAGTTACTATGATGACTAAATGATCCATGGCTTAAGACTTTCACAGATCATTTTATACAATTGAGCAGTTGAGTCGCAGTTACCGCTTGGAAACAAAAACGCATGTGAGCGCGAAGCCCGCTTTATCGCATTTGAAACGATGACTAAACGGTATATTACAACGCTGCATTAAGTTTATGGTAAATATAGAACGTTTATCTTGTTCCGCTTTGCTCATAGCATTGTCATCAAATCAATTAGTAGACTTTAAAATAATTCTAATTTTCAAAATTATTCAAAAATCTACTAATAAGAAATAGGCTAGAAATAGGAGACTCACATTGAATACACATTAATTAATTAATTAATCGAATTTTCTTTTCAGTCAAATTTGTTGCAGCTGGTGACTTCCTCTATTCTAGAGATTCTAGAAATCTCGCCGTTGAAAAATGTCACACGTAGTCTTCTCCTATGTGAGTTTCACTTCTTCTGATCTACTTCATACTATTATCATAGAATACGCCCGATAAACGTGTAGACAGTGATCCTATCATAATAAGGAGATGTCAATCTGTTCATTTCAGTAAGGTTCTTCTGTTGTCATACCAACTTGGATCGGCATAGGCTGCACTACAAGTTAAGAACTCTTTAATATAAGGAATAATTTCGGTTACTATTTTCAGCTGAGAGGTTCGAGCTTGCAGCCTGAAATAGCTATTCGAGTCCCGACGAAACATAAGCGATCCCGGGCCTCAGATCACGGAGTTCAAAGTCAGCTTCCCTAAAAAGGCAAGCTACAAGCCAGAACACAGGGAAACTTAGCTTTTTCTTGTCTAAGATGTCTAAAGATCTAAATTCAATGCCTAAAATTTACTACATTAAGCCCGCAACGAATCGTAAACATACGACACGTTATCTTAATACGTTTCCAGATAAACGGGAGCCTCTACGCAGATCATTTGCAGTTCAAACACTAACGGATGATAGCTAAAATGATCCCTGAACGCAAACCTGAGGCATGCAGTCAACAATTATTAAAGATTCGCTATGGGTTAGCTTAAAAGAAGTATTGTTTCTCCTCAGGTTCGAACCTTTGCCGTTTAAAACTGTAGCTGATTGGAAGAAATTATATTGAGAATTACTTTCTATTGCCGGCCCAAACACTTAATATAAAAACAGCTCCTTCGTTAGATTTTAGCTTACAATCCACTTAATTGTTCATGTAACTGTTTTAGTTAAAGGCCAAAGAAAGTAATGAGCAAGGGTTTACAGTAAGTGACGTATGAAACTGACCATGACTCACGGGCCATGTCGCATCACAACACTTCGAATTTAAGCTGCTCATACGTTACACAGACGACAGCTCATTATTGAATTCGAACAGCACAAGCTGATATAGCATTTGTTGCATAATCTATAGGAACTTAAGCTTCGATAGTCCGTTTTCATGTTTTCTGTCTTTCTTCATACTTCCTTTGATTCGATAAATCTCAAATCGTTCGACAAAGAATTTGCTCATCCTTGAGAACTTGTGTGTCGGATAAAGCATTAATTGGCTTCAAACTAGAACTCGCTGTCTAGGCTCATTGAAAATGTACCTATTAGAGATTTGGTATATCTAATCCTTTAGATATCTAGAAAAGTTTCATCCATTATGCATGGCCGCCACGTCTATCGATGCCCACGTTCAATTCATGTCCATGCACATGTATACACACTACTGAATCCGTCTCAAAAGCTACGGCTAAATGTTTCCATCTCGCTTTGTATGTACCAGTGTTCCCATGGCAAAAGCATATCGTCCTTTTTTTTTCTTTTTTATTATTAATGTAATTGTATTTCTAGATGAACCACGCGCTAAAATCTGTCAGACAAAAGATACGGTTAGCTAACCGTCCTTCATGTTTCGAGTCTTACATCCGGTACCACTGTTGCGCATTCCATCAGATGGTTGACTAGCTCTCAGTGCGAAATGAGCCGTGCATCTATGCCCGGATTCGAACCTAGACCACAACGTTTCCCTAAGGTAAACAGGCAAATATGTCACCACTAAGCTATCACGGAGGGACCGATCGCTCTGGCCCGATCATAATCTGAGATTGCACAGATCGGTGGATGCTTGGCAGTAATATCTCCAGTTGGACCATAACAGGGTGTTCCTGCAGAAGCTGCTGAGGAAGCAACAAACGGCCTTATGTCACATATTTGTTCGTCGTGCTTTGTCAAGGTAAACCGGTTCTACCTGAGTAGAGCCTTACAGAAGGACAGACAAGGATGCCACAATCTAGTTTTTTTTACAGACATTTTAAACGTAGACACAACTAGCTCGATCGCATAGTTGCTTGCTTTGAGCTAAAAACTAGCAGGGAAGGCGCGTCAGACGAATTTACTCAAATAAGGGCCATCAGCTGTCATGCGGAAGAGCCACTGCTGTCACGCGAATATCCGACACTTACTCGTCTACTATTTCTTGCAAATAATCAAATTTATTAGGCCGTATTTTGGGCCTTTTAACCAAACACCAGGATACTATTTCTGTTATTGCTCCGTAATTTCGAGCCGTTCGCAAGCCATTCATCGTGATCTAGCTTAAGCTCAAAATAACATTTAACATTGGCTGGCTTTACTGGGCGACGCTAGGCGTTCGTATAGTCGTAGCTAGATTTTGCAAGCACAGCCTGCTTATGTTTTGTCCTCTTCGTGGGCCGCGTCTGTGCTTGACGAACGGTCACATGCGATATTATTCTTGTCGCCATTAAAGGGCATTGTAGAGCACCTAAGAAAAAATTCTGTATCAAATGCACTCACAATAGCTATCGTTTGTTGGTGACAGCAAAAAAAAGAACAGTTTAAGGCCGACAAACGCATCATGATTTGGCTTCCGTTGTCGATCTACTTCTATAAACGTTTCTCATCAGTATCATTACCCAATGGGACGCCGCAAGTCAGCTTTGCTTCGACGCCACTTACTGGCTAATAATTACACAGATCAACGGAGTTTATAATTGTATATATCTGTCCGCACTGGTTTACACTTTGGTTATTCCTAGGTAATGATTCCTACTGCCATTAACAGGTTCTCTATTCACACTTGCTCATATCCAATTTAGATAGTACCCATATTGCAGGTTCTAATTATAGAAATACAGATGTAATATGTTTGATATATCAATATTCTTGGCTTACCGTTAGTGCTATAGATTAATATATAACTGTCATATAATTGTCCATAAAGATGATAAAAAAGGATACACAAAAACATATGACCTCTTTGAATATAGCAGTAAGACAGAAAAGCTTTGTATACCAATCGTTTACCTGTTGAGCCTTCTTCCGGAAGTCGCCCAGTTGATCGACCATCACTTGATTGTTATTTTCAATCTCAATTGTGACCGTCTCTTCAACTTCTGCTGACTTCTTGTTCTCATCCTCCTCATTGACGGGGGCCGCCCGGCTCTGTAGTTCTGCTAATAAATCCCGAGGCATTTTGATGGAAAGGGGTCACTCTGCAATGGCTACAACGTTGATTTTACGATGGTGTCAATTCTGCATTGGAACACACGCCGCCTCTTTCAATCAGGACATAAATTCGTTTCGATGGCAGCAAATTTAGCTAGTTGGTGTTGACGTCCATCAGAACAGGGCTATGAAGTGTCCTGACCACAGTCAGTAACCGAAGCCTTGCGCTGGCCTTAACTGGTACCTTCAACGATTCCTGCCGATGTGTCTACCAACCGATAGTTTGATGTTGCCCGTTCAGCGAACTTGTATTATCAGCTATAACCGGATTTGCGGCCTGACCGCTTAACAGTTCGATTCCGCAGCATTGGGTTTAACTGGCAATAAATCAATAGAAAACATTTACACACAAACACACGGGATGATACCCAGCTCCCAGCAACCGTTCCTGACTGATAAAGCGGCAATTATAATTTGCCATAAGCGACAATTTATAATATTCCACTCACTTATATGCTACTTACTGTGTACCACTTAGCCATTTGCCACTGGAATAGCTATTACATAGATTTGCACGTATATAGAGCGTATATGACGTAAAAACAACACCAGACGGCAAAACGTCGCTCGCCTGAGTCACTTCAAAGTCAGAAAAGGAGCACAGCTACGGATGATTCTTCAATGGTTGCCGCCCATTTAGATATAGAAATGTAGGCTAAGAGAGATACACTCATCCATGAAATAGATAAGTCTTTCAACTATTCTTCAAATAGGTGTACTCGTTTGTTTCGCTTCTTTTCATTTGTTCCACACTATTGAGATGCTCGATTTTGACAAGTGTTCGCAGCCGGAACCAGTTGCATCGTTAATACCACAGTTATTTTGTTCGACGGGAGCAGTGCCGTAACTTCTTTCGAGGCCCATTGCTTTCTCCGTGAATATTTCGATGGCCTCACGATTGAACTCTACCAGAAGCCGCCGTAGCCTTCGTGCACGTAATAATAGTACATTCCGTTTTTTCTTTTTTTTTTTCAGTATTTCAATCGCGGAGAACACCCGTTTACCCGTAGACACAGCAGCAGCAGCAGCGACAAGTCATTCATACTGTAAAAAAGGCTCCATCGATGACGCCTGCTCTCATTCATACATCGAGCAAGACGCCGGAGTCCGATACTTAGTCCCACTGCTCTCTAGCGGCAGTCAATCACACTAGTTGAACAGCAGCACGTATTTCTCCTTTCGCATCAACTGCAGCAATAACAATAGCAACAACGACAACTACAACAATAACAACAGTGGCAGCGGTGGCATTATTACCAAACGTATATGAAGTAATTGCCGAACTCTACACGTTAGCCAGCAGCCCACCACGATTATTAGCGGATGTCGTCGGCGCTGGCCGCCGTCTCGAACACACCCCGAGAGGGTCAACGAGCTAGCCTACTTTGTCCAGTCAGTCGATTGCCGGCTGGTTGTTTCAGCATCAGCAATGGCACATGTAGGAAAGGGAGGTCGTCCTATTGGGGCGGCGTCGTGGGCCACTGCCAACCCGGTCACTGATCATGGTCCGGTATTGCTGGAATTCTGCTATTGTTTTTAGTACTGGTGGCGCTGCTGTCCGCTAAAACCGGTAAGGACCAGCCAGCTACAGCGATTATTAGTGGCCCTGCCCACCAGGGCTGAGCTTGTGAGTTTTCACCAGCTAGCAGACGATGCGGTGGTGGCGATGGCAGCGATTGGCGGCAAAGGAAAACAGTGTAATGCAGTAAAACTAGATGCTACCGCTGGCGTTCCAATCGTCGCCAATAACATAGGACCAAAAACTAATAACAGGCAAAGAGCAACACTTCTTTGTTGCCCCCAGCGAAAGAACGATGCTGGGTCGGAATGGTACCTATATATTGTTGAACGATAAAGTGGCCAAGGTCATTTCTGCCTGTCGTCATTGGTCTATTGCTAATTTTTTTCCATTGTTGCTAAAATTGTAATTATAGCAGATCAAAGGAGAAAAGCAAAAGCCACCAAGGCATCGTAAACACTGAGGACAACGATAAAAAAAGGAGGAACAAATAATAAGGAAGACCGCAGGATTGTTAAGTGGATCCTAACCCTCATTGTTATTTCAAACAGATTAGCTAATAATAATTCTATAACTCCTAATTATCGCCCGCTTTTTATCTATGGCTGGTCGCCACTAAGCAAGGCCAGTTACGGTAACACGGACTATATATATATATATATATATATATATATATATATATATATATATATATGGCAACTGCTGAATTGAATCAGTTTGAGTGCTATCAATAATAACAGCCCACACCAGAATGAGATGCAACGGGCGGAACAGAGCCGACTGTGCCCGAAGCCACTGCATACCTTTACTGCCACGGGCAAATATATCTTGAGGTGCGTGTATATAGTCTTTTGAATTGAAACACCGAATAGGAAATGAATGGTTACAAGAGGATTGTCGAAAGAAGGGAAATTGTACGCGAGGGTGCAGTTACATCAAGAACTCCAGTAGTGAGTGGCAGAACGGCAGTGAATGATGAGACGGAATACTGGTCTTCAGAAGACGTTCCTTTAAATATAGTGAAATACGTTTTGTTATTATATTTCTAAAAGAATATTATATTTTTCAAGACTGGTTATATTAATAATAACAAACGGTGATGATTTATAATAGTTTTATATTAGCACTTCACCTGTCAGTTAATTAATACTATGGTCAGTTTTGTGGTTCACATCGCATAAAGGGTTTAAGCGCTTTAAACGGTGTGCTCAGGGTTACGTCCTACTCGATCGTTTCCTGAGAGGATGACCATCCTATTCAATAGTCAAGTCATACTTTGCCGCCTGGCAAACTTCTACAGTACTTTGTAACGTACGCGCTTTTATGGAAAGATATAAAATTTTCTGACGATGGATGTCTATCAACGGGGAGCTAAGGGAACAAACATCGGAACAATGCTTAGTAAATACTAAAACTTTTTCCCTATTTGTAAGCATTTGTGTAACCGGCAATCATTATCGTTAGTTTAATTTGCCGTAAAATTGCTTACAATTACTAGGGTATTGCAATACTCATTCAGACGTTATGCGTCAAATTGATGCGGGGTGGCCGTTCGCGCTTGGCTAGTTTTGCACAAAACAACCGATTCCTCACGAGCCACCAAATCCTTTTGCTTCTGAAGCTAGTTGCGCTTATTACTGCTGACGCTGACGTAATTGTCTAAGATCATGGCTTGTCAATTGTGAAGTAAAGAAATTCGCAGAGCTGCTGGACATCAAAACGACGTCACAAGGCGACGTAAAGCGTATTTTACGCTACAGCTCTACGACCGATCGTTGCATTACAAAACAGGAAATTATGTGTCTTCTAAATAGAAAACTTGCATGCACAATGTAATCATAGCAGGGCTGCCTTTCATTTTAACGAGACACGATCGGACTTTCGATCCATTCAATTGCAAAATTTACATTTATATTAAATATAGTGCTTATTATCGAACATTTGTTATATTCAGCATAGGCTTAGTCGACCAATATATGGTGGCAGCGAATCTTTCGTTCTCTTATCACATCGATGCGGATATAGCCGAACATTTATGCTGAGTATACATTGCTCGTATATGTTGTAAATATGGGTCGAAATTCTGATAAACAATTTACTGACTGAAGGGTGTCTGACTAAACATTGTTTGGGGTATTCCTACGGGTAAATCCGTAAATGTTTAGAGTTTTCGCGAAGTTTTACGTATTTTTATTCCATATAGAAGGAAGATACTCGTTTGTTACATGATATATTATTAGGGACAAATGTGAAGATGCATCAAGCACGTTACGTAAAATGTCTGTTATACCAGTCAGGTCTTTTCTATATCTCTGGTTGCCACTGTTTGACAGAAATCGGGATCGACCTTCGCGAATTTACGGCCCCATTTCGCCAGGCTTTATTGAAGCGTTAAAGTCGACGATAAGCTAAAGTGGCGACGGAGATCTTCGGCGAACAGTGGCGTGGCCGTCAGGATGTGGATAAGCCTGTTAACGGTCGTCTGGTGTAACCCCAAGATTCTTTTAAGAGACAATCTTTGCTCGGTTCGAATGCTCGAGATCCTCTAGACTGTGAAGTGATCTTAGATTAAGCTCACCCCTTGTCAAAAGTCAGAACCTTTCTACGTCTCCTGAATTGTATTACCTTGCTATTGGTTTGGTTAATACCGATCCCGTGATGACGAAATGTAACCTGGCTGGGGCCTGCCACACATGGAAACAACTGTTCCCGTAAATAACTAAATCGTCTGCACAAAGAAAAGTGTTCTTGTGTTTCCGTTCTCCCGTATCTTGTGCGGAAGATCCTTGAGCAAGACTGAGAAAAACAGAGAGGAGGCTTAAGTTACTACTCTAGAGCAGAGCTATACCCTGGAAGAACACCGGCAGCTCTGAAGTATGACCACCGTTGAGTTGAGTTTATTAGCGATAATTCCGACGTCGATGAGAATAGCTAAGACTAAATTCCTTGGGGCTCTGTTGAAGGCAGCCTTAAAGTTTACAAATACCGCGTACATATATTGCCGGACTACTCGAGATAAGAAAGAAGGATTTTGCGTGCCGCTTCGGTCGAATGCCCCCTCCTGATCCGTGTTGCTCCTTGGGTATCCCACTCACACTATCCAGGAACATGTCTAGTCTCGTTGCCGACAGATAGATGAATCGCCCAATTCGAATAATAAATATTCGCCTTGTGATCACAAAATTGCTATCAGTTGTCTTTTTCTCGCGTATATCACTTTTAGGTAAATAAACCCGTTTTTTGTTATTTTTTATTGCTTAGCTATTGGACTCTAGTTGAAATTAGCTAGCTAGACGCATCAGGCTCTACAAGCTAAAAAAAACTCTCCCGAATCGCTTGGATAACTTTTCTTAACATTAGTAGTTATAATATATGAGTAAATCTTTAGAATTTTGATTAAGTATACAGTGCATCCCTGCGAACATAACTGACCCTATACCTTCTTTAGTAACGATGGCGCAATTTCAATTATCAACCGTACTAATGTTGACAATAGAGAGTCCTTTGATTAGTTATTACAAGCTTATTTTGGCATTTTAGATTGTCCTTCGGTGCGTATCCAATGTTGTATAGTACTTCGCTATCTATCTACATCCACTTGGTTGGGTTTTCGCTATTGGCATATACTAAAATATGTCGATTATATTAGGCTATTACAGGCGAAATCGCCAGAGTTCGAAATTGAAGAATTTTCAAACTACTCGTCCTTAGCAGATCAAAATTTACCTGCTAAATCTTCTATAAGCCGTGAAAACTGGCTAACTTTACTCTAGGAGAACCTATTTCAGAAAGAGAAACATATCTTAGTCTTAAATATCAATGTTCGGCGGTCATGTCTTTGTTCCTGGAAGGCCACACCGCTGTGGAAAGTCATTGGAAAAATTGATAAGGACATTATGTAAGGAGGCCCTGAGCGAAAGCACAGTAGGTGAATGGTGCAAACATTTTAAGAATGGAGACTGGAGTGCTGAAAGCGAGGGAAAAGCGACCAAATGTCGAGACCCAAAGGACAAGGACGCATTGCCGAAATTGAGGAGACTATTCACAGAGGCACAGTTTCGAGTCTAAAGGCTCTCCAAATCTGACCTTATATTATATACTTACTGAATAATAACCCAAATACGGAAAATGCTTAAAATGAGTAAAATTTGGGTCTCTTCAGAATTAACTTTAGGCTGGTCGGGAACGTAAATGGCGTATACTGCGTTCAATTTGCGAAATCTCAGTTAATGAAAAAGAAAAACGCCTAGAGCATACAGTCGCCATAGGCGGGGCTATGTTCGACTTTTACTGCCCGGCCGAGAGATACCAAGCAAGAAGATGACATATCCCCGGAGAAAACTTGAGTCCAGTAGGTTTGGATGGAAGGTGATGATGGAACTTGCAATTGACACCGGGGGCGTCTGCTACAAGGAGACTTTCAGAAAATAAAACAATAAGTGTAGTTTTCTATCTCGAGTCCCTTAAGAGACTCATGAACCGTTAACAGAATAATCGGAAGCACGCAACCCGACTACTAAATGATAACGCTATACCTCATCCCAATGCCCCAATTATTTACTATGCTAAATAAAGGATTATCTAGCGTTGGCCTCTACCCGTCGATTCTTCCGATCTAAGTTCGCGTGATTACGGGACTTTCCATGCCTCAAATTTATGGGTGAGCACACGCTATCACCGATTTAGTTCGAGAAGCCGTAGACCGAGGAATCGTGGTAACTTTATGACTATCCAGAGCACCGGGACAAGTATGTAAAGATTAAAGGAAATTACTGGCAAGTAGATCAATTAACAGATAGAAATATTAAGAGATGAACGTACTACTGATGAAACGCGCTCATTAGCTCTCAACTCCGTATTCCTAGTAAACGGGATGATAGTGCATGCATTCAAGCTGGATTTGTCATCGACGCCCGCGTTTAGTCTTATTGGATGGACTCGACCAGGTCGTCTGGGTTGCCACAGCAGCCTTTCGTACACATCGTGCTTATATTTATACTGTAATGTAAACATACATACAAAATCCTCCAATAATCAAGTACAATGACGGAATGTACGACGGCCGTACATGAAGTACAGCGACAACGTAACGTGGATCTGCGGATAACCTGCCGATACTGCCGTCGTTCGAGTGGCAGCAAGGCGGAGCTCAGAGAAATGACGTACATGTCACTACTGATGCCGCCAGAGAAAAACACTGGGACGGGCGTTTTGATGCGGCTGGTAAGTTGTCAGCTTACGTATATACAAATGTATATATTAGGCTCGGTGTATATAGGGCTCAGTTTTTGTAAATATATAAAAAGCTTTCGAAAATAGGAAAATTATCTGCGTATGGGGCTTTCTCAACCACGATTGAAAGTGTGTATAATATCTAACTGTTAGCTGATTTAGTTTTTCGAACTTAATTTTTGAAAAAAAAAAGTGTTTTCCTGTCCATGAATTTGAATATGTTATTACCTGTCGAGAATATTATATTATTTACTACTCTTTCGAAGTTTTTCGATCGACCGTAAATTAAGATGGAACTCTGATCGATTTTACTTTGAAAGTTAACAGAAACAGGTGGACGGCAGCCTGGAGAAAGTTTACTAGAAATAAAATTAATAACGATACAATTGAAATGTAGGACATTCCCTGCTGGTAAGGTATCTGTTTGGTTTTATACTATCCTACGCTCTATGTTTCTTGTCTGTGCTGGACTGTCTGAACTGGACCAACTGAACACTGAGGACGAGATGTCTGAATGACTAACTAGCACACGTATAATGCAGCAAGGTAGCAGGACGACGCAGGCCATACACGCTGTTCATTGCTATAGCGACTCGTTAGCAGAATACTTGTACAATAACTGAAAGCATCTTCTCTACAGAACACACCATATTCGATTTTTTTTTTATTGATATTTAGCTTACAACTCAGACTTAACTTCATTCCACTGTTTAATCCGTTATGTTTTCTCATGAGAGAAAAGTTGTTCTTTATTATTCCCCTGGGTAAGACTCGACTAAAATTCGTTGCAGCATGCTATTAAGTGCCCATATTGCGTATTTCCTTTATAAATGGTCATCATCACTCTAACGTACTTATGTTGCGTTTCGGGTAGTATTGCATAGACGTTGTTCATCTCGGCCGCCTTTTTGCTGTTTTATGTGGCCTTTCAACCCTTGCGGAAAATGAATCATAAAAAAATAGAACAATTAAGCTTGTAGCGGACTCTTATCCTATAAATTCTCTATATGGTTTCAGTCTCATCAAAAACAACTGCAACGACACAGCTTTCTACATAGCACCGAAGTTCTATTCTTCAGCACCTTGTATATATATATATATATATATATATATATATGTCCTATTATTGGATCGTTTGAAATATGTGAATCGCCACGGTGTCGATGCCACTTTCAGTGTTGATTGGTACGATCACTGTCTCATGTCTCATCGAGTTAACCGTTCTAGATGACTGAATTCTATACGTTTCTTCCACAGTTGTTTATATTGTAAACATTTTTAATCTTATTTCATATGTATCGTATGTATTTCATACTTCATCGTCATTTTATCTAACTAGTTTAGTCATCTATAGACATGGTTATCAGTCGTGAACGTCATCAACGATTGTTGTTGCCATTACAACTTTTTTTTTCTGTCCATATAGTTATGCTTACTCTTTCATAATGCGTATTTTGTTCGTTAGTTTATTATATGCTCTAGATTGCGTTCCTGTTTAATGCTTCGGCGGCGTGTACGCCAACCAGTTACTCGGTCCGAACCTGACTTCAGACAAACGCAACCCCTGCAAAGTACCGTGCGTACGTTTCCTTGAGCTGGAGATTTGTAGTATTTGGGCTTGCTGTGGCCTCTTATGTGACCTCGTTTATTTCATTGTCACGTTCATTCGCCCCCCGCCCTCCCACTCTCTCTCTCCTCCGCAGGGCGTCATCCTTCAGTTCTCCGTAATGAAATAATACGGTTGCGCAGGTAGCACTACCACTAAAATACTATATCATTATAATATAATTTAGATAAACTCTGAGTTGACCTTCAAACTTGTGTTGTATAATGGGTATATTGGGATGCAAGCCTTTTATGTCTTTTCGACACGGATACCTGAACATCGATGCAAACGATTTGGTCCTTGACCAAAACTGTTTGCCAAGCAGGATTTATTCATGTTAAAGGCAATCCATGTGTGTACTCGCTATAAAAAAACGTTTGCTTTCTATAAGCGTATACGTGCCTAGTTTATTTTTATTAACTAGATAGTTCATTATGCGAACCGTTTAGTCCTTCACGAGTCCTGAGTGATGTATCGCATTCAGGTACACGCAGCTGATCGATGGTTCTCTTTCCAAAAGGAAAACCCGTATAAACTTCTGTGGTGGTTCGAAGAATAGACTCTAGCAGTATTCGCTCGTGCCTTTGCAACTTTCGTCGCGTGTTTAAGCGTCTCGTTCCTATGTTTTTTCCATTTCGTTCGCGCTTCTACCGAAAAGCTCTATTAGTACAGTTAACTCGGCTACTGTATAGCTATTGATTTCCGACTAATCAGCTAGGTAATTACTAAACTGTAATAGAGCTGATACTCATGTTCAAATAGATCAATAGACGACCGAAATTAAATTTTCGGCGATAAACTTTGGCAGAGTAATCTGCTTCTGGACTCGCTGATAACATCAGTGTGGCATAGCCCATTTTAACACTGTTTACCAATAAGTAATGGTTGCCACAAGAATTGTGACGTCTATGCCTTAAGAGTGTGATATCTGCAATGATTAAAATTACAAGGTGCATTGTCATTGTATAGTAGTCTATGTAACGCCTTCCGATCCTTAGGTTATAATAGTTTAGCTATAAAAGTGTTATTATTATTATTATTATAGGTAACTAGAAAAATAATTATCGGGTCAACGCTTCGGTGCAGACCGTTGCAATCTACGGAATGGGACGATGGTCCAAAAGTTCGGTTTTTTTTTATCTCTCTTCCATTGTAAATGTATCGATTCAATCTAGAAAATTAAGCAATCGATATAAGTTCAATGTCATTCGTTCCCAAACTGTGGCCTAAAGCTGTTCCATAATTTTGAATTTCTGCATTAAGTCCATATTCTGCCCGCGAGGATCTTTCTTCTTGCGCTGCTTAAGCATCTCACGTACATCTGACGCTTTCATGGAAAAAATTGGTGAGACATCCCCGCCTATAAAGCAAATCGAAGCCATCCAAAAATCAAAAAATTAAAACAATATTCCTCACATCTGCATGCCATTCCAAGGACGCCTGTCCTGATCCCTTTACTGACAATGTAAGCGAGCTGCTAGATCACTCCATCACAACTATAAGTTATTGCGAATTTGAGAACTTTTTTTTACTGTCTACCAAGCAGAGTTTATCGCGGATTCGAAATATGGAATATTGATTATCGTATGATCTGTCTTTGAAGATTTAGTATAAGGAAACATTAGGAAAATAGAAAAGCACCCGCAGACTACTGTTAACTGCAAGCTTTGCCGCCCTTTTTCAGATACTATTCAAGCTTAATATACCCATATCAGCTCGTGGATTGTTATCTCCATTGAGTGTACTGTTAGCCATTCTGTCACTAAGGTCCTGGTTGGATTGGCCTTCTGCTTCCGTGAGGGGTTCGGGCGAGGACGCAGCGGCCTCAGCTGAACCGCGTCCATTGCGTGTCTCCGAATACGCTGGCGGTTCAGCGTTGTTTGAAGGAGTGGGAGATAGCTGTAAGATTGACAAAGAAAACAAGTGAGTTACTTTTAATTGTCAAGACTGTTGCCATCACAAGGAAAAAGTGTCTGACAATTTTCGACAAAACGACGTTGCGCCCATGATTTGAAGTACGTAAGGTCTTTATATTGCAAGATCATTCAGCAACTGCAGTCCTATCGTATTGTCAGGTTTCCGATGATTGCTTTTGGCGCAACGTAAATTGTGACAGAGCATCAGACCAAACACGCTAATTCATGTATTCAACTACAAACAAAGAGAAGATAGCATAATAGCAACGCATTGCATTTACGTATCAGACCTCAGTGACGTTATAGTCATCGGCATTCGATGAAGGCGAAAGTTCCTCAGAACGATTTGACGAGGGAGTCGAGGGAAGCATTTTCGGGCTTGAAGACTTCGACGAGCCGTCATGTTCCTCCTGTCAGCAAATAGGACATTTTAGTTTAAAAACAAATGGCCACTCGCTATTCGTAACGTAAAGGCGCTTCTATGAGAGTCACTATTAACTAAATCTAAACTAACATCATACTAGATTTCTATCAGATAAACGACCCGTTTGTCAAGCCTATCAAACCGTCTTCAGCATTTTACCAATTCTGTCAAATTTATCCTCGTTTCTCAAATTTGTATAGATTCGAAACATTTAAGTGTTATCACTCATGTCTACTATTTAAAATATTTCCTCATAGTCGTTAACTGCATCCTTTATGACAAAACAGTTTTCATCCCTATTTCCTTAGGGGTCATTATTAAAGGTTAGTTTCAACAACGGCGTTCGCCATACACTTCTGACTTCTGTGCTATCTATGTAGATCATAAATTCTGAACTATTATCTTTGGTTATCTGCAGCGAACGAACAAGAAGGGCTCGAAAAAAGATCCGAAATGTAATGCTATTTCGGTTGACAGTGAGTACAGGCCAGCAGCAGCAGCAGCAGCTTCTCCGAGGGTCTGTAACATTAAAAAGTTAACATTTTCTATGCACGTGTGCTATGTCACTATTGACAGCTAGCTTCATAACAAAAGGCCGATGAGCCAGTGGACAAACAAAAATAAGCGGTGGCCGCAGCCGTCACTGTCGCTGCTGAAAACGTTTCGACAATATTACCATTTTCTTTTCTTAGTTTCACAGTTTCAAGCAAATTAAAACCGATAAAATTGCTCAGCAGCGTCGCGATCCTACACTTTTGCGCATGCCCACCAAACACCAGTGCCGCATAATCGAAAACTCCCGGATCTGTCTGGCTGGGTCGGCGTTATATAAGTCTGTTGAAAATATTAGACGGTATACGCCCGCACTTTGCATTGACCCACCCAGCTTCACGTGCCGACCCACCATTCGACTCTTCGATCTGTAGCGTCAAAATAACAAGTGAAGGCCATGGTGTGATTTTACTGTAGTGGCCAGCGTCAATCAGTGAGCAATCGGTAGTCCGGGCCAGCACTAATCGACTCCCTACATGAAGAACTTTCATCTTCTAGTTGATTCGGCGATTGAGTGAAGATGCACCAGACAAAAGGAATAGTCATATTAATAATAATAATAGTTACTACCAGGCACAGCTGTTCAGTTGGTGAGCCTCAGCAAAAATGTAGAAGTGATAGCAACCTATTATTATTCAATGCACGTAGCGGCTGCAGTGACGACAAGAATGTGATGTAAGTTCATTTACTAACTATTGTTTGGAATTTTACGTCGTCTCCCAGGACGAAACGTCTATGCCTGAATCACCGCGTGTCCCAAAGCTTATGCAACAATCACCTTACCACTAACTGGAATCCAGTTTACGTTAGATTCTACAAAAGCTGCGCTGATGGTTATATTATCGAATGTATGCGACATAAATTACAGATACTATATATTCACCCAAAATTTAAATGTGGTGTTTTTGAGAAGAAGCAAGATTACGGTAAGAGAAATAACGTTTTGTACATGTGAAAAAATCCGTTATATATATATGTTGAACACGTTTCATCATGTCTTCTAACAGCTGATGCTTGTTGCATCATTGGTTGTAATTAACAGAGCCACCGGTTGTTTAATTGCTTTCTAGGGCTTAGTACGCACTAAAGGTCAGGTAACTACTGGCTTAGCTAACTTAACTGTTGCTTTCCGTGCCATAAAACTACCGCCTAGTACGTAACCACAATGAGGCAATCTATGGACCCAGAGGTAAAAAAACATACAATGTAATTGTTTATAGTATGGAAAAATTAATATAATTGTTGGGCGCGACAACAGCTATTTCGTGCCGGTTTTTTCTGCAGATAAACAGTATATCAACATGATTACTTGATAAGTCAATGAGATAAAACTCCCATGGCTAGTGGGCGTTCCCGCCAATAATATGGCCAAAATTTCCTGATCACGAAATATTCAAATGTTGGCTCATTTACAGTCTGTTCTTTCGACATGTACAGGGTGTATCAAAAACTTATGCGCAATACATTGCTAATATAAGAAAAATTAAATCCGAATCAAGAACCGAAAGGGAGGAACAAGTGGAAAAATACCAGGCCGACCGCTACTCGATTTTTCGTATTCGTATGAAAATCTCACGCAGAGTCTTTTCTCGTTTCTTTTTTCCCTAGTTTCCGGTATAATTCGCCATGTCGTCTTCTGCGTTTTAAGCAACGCTTAACGACAGCGCAAAGAAGAAACCTTGTATTGTATTATGGAGCGTTGTGTGGGACGACACTGCTGAAACTGATGACTGAAATGCTTCTCTTGGCTGATGTGTAGAAGACGTGCTCGTATTGCATGCTTCCTCGGTAACATCTGAAGGGCATTTGGTGCTAATTTGTGCCATCAGAACTGTACATAGATAGGACTCAATGATGTTCGCCGACAGCGAAGGAGATCGTTAAAGACAAGTAGGTATCTGTTACTCGTACGACGCGACAAGAGCGATAAACTCGTAGCAAGGTGTATATATAATACTTCGGCTTCTTGATTTTCGCGAAACGAAACTCTTCAGAGCATTTCCTACTGCCGAACGAGAAAACATAATGCCTAGCTAAGGTGGAAAAGCCTAGAAGAAGACGATGAAAGCCTGCACAAAGGGAGGTTTATTATGATATTCTATCGTCGGCGCGATCTATCTCGCATGTTTCAGTTTAATTTTGATAATAGTTGCCACAAATACGATCAATGCTAAATCTAAGGGAAACAGGTACAAAGTCTACTCGTGTCGGGGTGGTGAAACATAATGACTCGTTGACGTTCGTCATCACAGCTTAATTGGGTTTCAAGATCGACTGTCAGAATAAGGTATTAGTTTATACGGAACATGAGTTGCACGTCTCGACTAAAAATAAAGTAGCTACTTTCTAACGACGATCGCCGGATATAGATAAACGTGTCGATAAATGTGACAGTACCTAATAGAGACACGGTCTAGCGGGGAATACGTTATATAATAGACCAACGAAAAGAAACAGGCCTGGACTTTAGTAGTACTGTAGTACAAAAAATACGTAAATTATTTTGTTTCTTCATTTAGTCGGGCCCTACAAGGTTATTTCTATGCTGATTCAATGACAGAGACTGCGCTCTTTTCAAATGCATGAACGCGGTATCTGTCCGCGACTATCGAAATTTCTCATTTATCCTCCGCTGTACTAAATCTGTTATCTAGAGTATAGCTAGTCCTTAGAGCCACTTCGAAAAACTGTCGTGTACTTTCAGCTCGTACAGGTGGTAAGTCATGATAGTAGAAAATGCAAAAGATGACGAGAAAAACTATGACGCCTCATTCGCTCTCAGCAACCGTCTGACTGACATCAGACATTAGATAAACGCAATAAGCAGCAGAACATTGAATCACCGAATAGAGACAATTAGTTTAAATGGTGACTTTTCACGTGTCCTTTACATATATATATATATATATAAACATATACAGGAAACGGCATGAATAGCCTTGACAAATGGGTGGCGATGTTTGAAATGTCCACTCAGAGCGCAGGCGTCAGAGAAGGCGACGGCCGATAATGAATCCGAGGAAAAAAGAACAGATTGACAATGGACAACACATCTATTGGCTGCACAACTCATCTATAACAATAACAATCACGTTTTTTTACTTTTACGAGTAAAAAAATTTGACCCGGCGAACTCATTCATGTTCAGGTTGAATTGGAACGAAAAACGCTGAAGAAGATAAAAATACTAGAAACACAAAGACAGAGGAAGAAATTCAGTGGCTTAAGAAGCAGTGATCAGATGCCGGCTGTGGGGAGGTGCAAATTTACACGATAGTTATTGGTTCGTATATTACTCCTGTTTACAGATGAATACAATAAATAGTATCTGAGATCTACGGCCGTAAAGGTACACTGCCATGGTCGGCCATAGTTGCTCTCCAACAGTGTAATCAATAACCAAAGGGTTGAATGGCAGAATATTGGGGTCCTACACTTTTTATCGCACGTAGCAATCGGATGGCAAGCAATATCTTTCCGTGTTACTATACAGATATAATGAATAGCAGTTATTTAGTGGTGATTATAGTGGCAACTGTGGCCATCAAGCCGATTTTAGCTGATCTGGTTACTACAACGTGGGATAATCACAGACCAGTCTGCAAGCGAGAGATGAATGCAAATTTAGATATGGCGAGCAAGAAACGCCCCACCGCTACATAAATCTTTGGCTCGTTGGCACTATTCTTCATCAAAGGAAGTTGAAATTATACGCTGTGGAAACTCTGCCCAAAGAAGTGCTATGGTAAAGCTTAGAAATCCCGTTGGCGAGTATTACTGATTGCACCCTTTTATGGGCACAACTGGGTGCACCTTCATTTTTAACTTGAAGGGTAGATCACCGTACGTATTTCAAGAATGAATTTAACGTTTATTATACAATTGATCAACTAGTTACTGACGCTATCGACGTCGTTTTATCCAACTTAAATTTATTTGGAGAACTGCCTATGAACAAAACTGTAGCAAATGAACGACAACGTCAGACATTTGAAGGTCGCTTTTATTTTTACGATATATGCTCTCCATCTAGATAATAGATAGAAAAAGCCAACGATTTAAGGAAGATAGAACTATACATGGCGGATAAACGAATGCGAATATTTGTTTCAACAGGAAATAGAAAAGCGAAAATAGGAAGAGGACATAGTCTCGCACACAGCCCAGCCAAATTCCCTATGAGTAATTTCGTTGAGACCTTTGCGATTTAGGTATATATATATATATATATATATATATATATATATATATATATATATACTACTGGTGGCAGGACTTGTGATAAGGTCACGTAATGTACGAGTATTCGAGCCTATTTAGAGAAACTTAGCTAAGCGATTCAATGGGCACGGAATTATAGGAAATGCAAAAATGACTGTTTGGTAGTTTCTTCTTGTCATCCTAAAAACATCGATTCTCAGAAAACGTAATATTATCAAATGGACAGTTTTGATATTTTACAATATGGCCACGGTACGTTGAAAGAAAGCTTGAGTAGAAGAGTATAGTAGATCAAAAAGACATTCTGGGACCGGAAGCATATTGAAAAGCTACTCCGTGTGTACCCTCTTGTAGTAATCGTCACCACGTTTACGTCTGTCATCTAACGTCCGCTTTCTCACGTACACCACTACCTGCTGTAGAATCATTCGTGTCAACACCGCTTCTTTGACTAACGTCAATTTTGTCTCGTAATAAGTCAATGCGACATTATCATCACTATACTCATTATCCAGTGAGCAGAGTAAAAGCAAGATATGATGGATTATTTTCCTTAACAGCGGCCCAGGTTGTACTTGGAAAAGCTCAATTCATTCTCAGCAGTAGCATCATTTAACATTAGATGGCACGCAGCGATTAACACAGCGTATTAGATCGTTAGGCCGTAATGAAGACAAACAGCAGTGTCATCGGTTTGAGTATAGTTCACAGCCTGCAAAAAACAGATCTGCAATAAATCTGAACAATCACTGCTTCACTGGAAAGCTCCCGGGGTGCGCGATGGAACGCGTCCTTTTGTGACAGAAAGGGCTTGTGCTGAAGGTTTGTATGGGGGCCTGTGTTTATATATGTAACCGTTCCACGCGTAATCTTGCTGTCGTACTGTTGCGTATGAGAGTTCTTCTCTTGTAGCTGCTTTCAGTAGTGTATGGCTACTTTTACAAATGTCCTGCCCCATAGCCGTGGACCTGCCAAGGCGATCGCGGTTCTACACCACCATGCGACGGGTTCTTTCAAGTGTCGTCATCGTGTGGCCTGGTCCCTAGGTCGATTTCACGTCTACAACAGATTGATCCGGTCGCGCTGGTCAAGAATTATATTAGTTCATATACGAAATCACGTACCCTATTACAGTTAACTTCGTCCCACTTCACACCGGACCTCTTACGTTTTTATGTTATTAACGCTATCTTTTAAGATAACTAACTAGTTACCGTTAGTTACCGCTACTTTTTTGACATGATGACGATATGAAGTTTATCCTCATCATGTTCACCAATTAAAGATACCAATGCTAGTGGCTGATTCAACTGAATGTTAAGCTAATGCCAGCCGTATCCCTCTGCGTCGAAATACAGGATTTAATTTTAACGTCAGCGCTCTCCTGATCCCGCCACACATGCTCCAGTGAGAGGAACCGATTATTATCCAATCTCGATGTTGAATCTTTACATACTCCCTATATGAATACGATCATTGAGTTATTCCAGCACAGCCTGCTCGTATGTACTGTAGTATCGAACAGTTCGCTCAGCTTGCAACCTAGCATAGGAAAATGCCGAGGCTGCACGAAGCCCTCCTCAGTTTGTGGGACAGCAGCCTCAGAGCTTGAGACAGTGCTGAAGTCGCTACATCGCGCGACTATTGTTTTGTACATATTTCTATTACACGCTGACGTGTGTGTGAAGCAACGATTAGCAGCACTCAGTTTTTCGACTGCTCTTATGCGTCGTTACGCGCTTAGCGAGATATATTCGGGAGTTTCCGGTGTTGAACGGTCATTTCTTAGCCTAGAACGGATTGTGCCTGCCGGACTGCCGGTAGTATCGGTCCTAGAGGCTCGACACACTGTTCCCATATCACCTGGAGGTGTGTTACGAAGGAAGTTGAACTTTATTCGAAAACAAACAATAGGGTTAAAATCTCAAATTATAAATATTCATTGCGAAAGCGTGTGGTCACTTGTCGCAAGATATCACCTCATTCTATTTTTGAGCATCTGAAACATAAAATAGTACGCTGGACTCAGATACGGTAGTCGAGGTTGTTCGCAATATTCCTATCTCATTCCTGTGTGTTAACAGACAGTCAAGTGTAGCTGATCGTCGTTTGCATGAGTGTCGCCCAGATAACAGGTCATCTACCCCATTTATGACGCGACCCGCATTACTGGGAACGCATTTATCAATTTAGTGAACTCGATCTTGAATGCCAACTTCCCTCAGTAATAGTACTAATGCATCAAATACATTCTCGGACAGTCGTCGTTGTCGTCGGGTTGATAACTGACCCCGTTTTCGGTGTTGCTGACATCGATTCAACGACATGGAAAATGCCAGTCGTGCGACGACCAACCAATAAACCAACCGGTGAGCGCTAATTGAACCGTAGGAAAATGTTTTATCCCTAGACAGACACACCTCTAGTGCCTCAAAAGCTGCTGCTGGCCGCTCTCCGATCATCGTCCCAAATCGCCAAATTTATTTATATGTCGAGTGAAAGCGGAAGGTACAAGGGACAACGAACAGCTAAGAACAACAAAAACCAGTGGTAGCGTCACAGTCACCCGCAGCTGCAGGTATTCTAGTTACTAGCGGTCGCTGTTTGCAACAACGGTAGCAGCCCTAGCTGTCTGTAATGGTTGTTCAGCTTTTGTGTGGTTTTCCCTTTCATTCTCCGCTGTAGCTGTTGTCGTCGTTGTTGTTGTTGTTGTTGTCACGACGAATATTTTTCATAATACTGTAACCGTAGCGACAACGTCAACCAACAACAAACATTGTGTTCAGACAAGTGTCGTTGAAGCTAGAGGTCAGACTTGCTGATTACTGGCTTATTTTTCGTCGTTCGTCATGCACCCGTTGGTTTGTTTTCATCTACGAGTCGATCCACCTGTTCAAGACTGACTGTCTAGCGAGCTGTTCGCTGAATTACTACAGTGAACGCTGTTCATTTAACGACCACATCGTCACGTTGCTGGCAGGATCGGCAACGGCCAACATTTACTACAATGGCTGCTAGCACGCTACCGTCGTCGCAAAGCGAACTAGATTACTTGACTAACCGCTGAAGTCAGGCCACCTCTACCTCGAACAGAAACCGCCGACGGCAGCTCAAATGCTAATCTCAGCTGATCGATAAGGTTGTTAGCTCTGCCTAAACTGTTTGTTTCACATAAGTATCTTACTGATCACTGTTTTTTGACAGATGAAATGCTAGTACCTAGATACAATATTGGTGTACATGATTAAGCCACGATCCCTGCTGCAGTAACCATTTTTCGGAAATCGCCATACAGTTTTCGGATCGAATGAAGATATGATATCAGATTGATACGACTCCGTATCCATAAACGCACGTGAATAGCAGAGGAATTACGTTCGAGGTTACTATGAACGCTTTTGGCTTAGTGTTCTGGCTTCGATGATCACCGATCGGTGCTCGTCACATGAGGCCGTTTCAAGTAGGCTGTTTTTTTTTGAGGTTTGAAAATTCGCACACATCCGGAAGAACATGTACGGGTAACATGAACGGGTTTTCACATATACGCCAGTATACCGCCAGACGTAAGTAATGAATCAAGCGGTCATTACAAGTACACAATGACTTCTATAAACGTCAGCTAGTTCTCAGCGATGCGACCATAAATCGTGTTCGCGATAGGTTTTTCCACTGTTGTAGGAACATAGTGTTGCCTTGCAGTGTTCTAGTTTGAGAACACGCTGGCAAACTGGCAAACACTGTTTTTTTTTTTACTGGTCAACGAGTCAAGGCAAAGCTCATTGCACATAGCAGAACCAGACAGCTTTTCTATAGCCTCTGCGGAAAGATTACCCATGGAAGACTATTTTTGCGGTAAAACTCTCATATGCAAATGTTGTTCTGGAGCATGGTTTTATGACAAGAAATAAATAATATTAGAGAGTAGATGTTTTTCGCTTTTCTTAATAATAAACCGTTTATCATTAGATAAAGTTAAGTTTATCGGGATAATTAATGAAAATTTGATCTCACGCTTTCTATAATATTTAGTAAATGTTTTATGCCTATCCTACTAATGCGCGGGATAACTGTGATAGCAAACTTGAAAATTTATGGCTTAAATTCTTCCATTATTATTTACCATATGCTCCGCGTCTCGGGCAGGCGTTGCTAGATGGCGCACTTCACGCATGTCATGGCGGGGTACTTGCTGTTTCTCGCGGTAAAGCCGATCTGTTTCCTTGCAAACAACAAGGAGTTCTGTCTGGTTGGGGTTTGACTTAATGCGTTCGATGATCTCCCGGTGAGCAATCTATTAGTAAAGTTACCCCAAAAGAACACAAATTATAGTTTCACTAATGTTGTAACTAGATAAGCATTTACTAAACAAAACAACACTTATTGTTACCGAGTTATAAAAATTTTGTGTTTGGCGTAAAATAAGAAGAGTTTCCAATACAGCTGTGAAAAAGCAAGCACTGGTCCTCTCAAAGAGGTTAAGCCGATTCGACTATTTTCGTACCTTCTTTATCGAAAACGTATTGCCCAAAAATTCTACGCAATATTCTTTTATTCGTTGGTATTTACGTATATACTAAAATATATCTTAATGTTCTGACTATGGCCATTATGAACTTACACATTTGAGCTAACTAAGTGCTACTTACTAATACTCGATGATATCAGTAAGTTACCTTAAGTAAGTTAGATCGAACTGCTAATCACTTAAATACAAACTCTGAAATAAATCTTTCCGTGTGTAAGACGATTTCTTAATCGTCTTACAATCTTTTCTTTTAAGTACAGTCTCCTCTTGAGCTTGCCTTAAATTTTAAATAAAATCCAATATGCTTTCTGTCGTTCAGTCTCAGGGAAACGAATTGCCAGCCTGACCTAGTGTCAGCTTTTCAAGCTTTCATAATATATAACACAATAGCATAATGAAGAGAACCAGCAGCTAATGCAAGCGTTTAGATATCAACTCACGTTTTTTAATTCTTGAAAATTTATTAGCTCTTCTAAAAAAAAGATATTTAATAACAACTAGGAAATGTTGCATAAACTACTGGGCTGGGAAAAATTTCATCGTCCTCTCACAGTTACCTTTGAATAACGTAAATATTACGGCACGCTTTATGCATAGTACGTGTGAAATAGTCGAACAGATCTACAAGTTAGGCCTGTGACACTTTTTAGTAGTGACAAAAGGTATCCGCGCCCTTCGAAAAGACTCTTTCATATCTGCTCTCAGTTATTGAAGAAAAAACTACATGACTGATGTCAGCTTTGTTATAGACGAGACCCTTAATTGCTCAATCAGCGTTTTTACTCACGTTATCGATGTTGGTTCCATTCACCTCAACGAGTCGATCACCCGGCTGAAGGCCGCCGAGTTTTGCTGGCGATCCCTCGTCCACTTCGCCGATATAGTGCAAGTTATTAGTCTTATCAGCGTGCAAATTGAATCCATAGCCATCGTAGTCTTGCCATTTGCGCAGGAGACAGAGTCTGGGGACAAGGTGCTGAAAATCGGGTCAAACGAGCGGATATTATTCACTGTTGTGTTGACATTTTGTACATATGACCTTGGCTGGCACAGTGGCATTAAAACAATGGCTAAAAGCATTTCTTAGATAAAACAATCTTACGTAGAGCGCCTGTCGGCATGACCCTGATGAGATATATAAATCAATAGCATGCTCAGATTTGTCAAAAGACATTGCCTCATTTTTTTCACTTATATACGTTCACGCTTCAGGGCAGACAGACGTTGTGCATTTGCAACAAGTTTATAGACTATTCGACAAAAGCTATCAGAATTATCTACAACCTGCAACTGAAGGTTTAGTTCATGCAAAGAGATGAAAGTTATCAAACGGATTTAATTGAGAAGAATGTCATTATCTAGAACCAAATCAAGCCGTCAAAACAGCTTGAGAATATTACTTGAAACCCAACTCCAGTATTTCAAAGACCTTCACTACGTAACAAGTAATTCCTGCTTCATATATTTGGGAGCCTACCAAAGCTACTTCGTCGACGTCCCGTCGGAAAAACTGCTCCAATGGGTGGGCAAAGGTAAACTCCGTCCATGCAAAAATTTGCTAACTACAAGAATGACGTTGACCATTACTGCAGTGAATGACAAGCATTGCTTCCGATGTTGGACTATTGCCTTAGATGTTATGTCTCTGTAACGTGTCTTACAAATACTATATGCACATTAAATCGTTCTAGAAGGGATAAACGATCAGCCATGAAATACCCGCCTCTCCGGAAAATTAATTCTAACTAATGTCTTTCTTCTGCAGAGATTACCTACCAGAGAAACCCACGTTTACTTATCCTGCGGTCAGCATTACAAAGCAGCGAAAAATGTTAAAGTTTCGTAAAAGGTTGAACATACAACAATTTAACTTAAAGATGTATGTTGTAATTTCCAACCATATAAAGACTTCAATTGCCAAGTTGAACACAACACAATTGCTAACAAAGACCCTTTAAAAATTGACTTAAAAGTTAGTCTACTATACAAATTAATAAATGTTAATTTTAGTAGTTGGATGCAGCCTTTTGAGTGCATTGCCATAGTAGTTTTGAACATGCGGTCATTTTCGTTCTATTATTTTGCAGCGGCACGTAGTTACTATGACATAGTGTTAACATGCCATTTCACAGATCTGGCTGAAGATCAGTAACTGAAGTCGGTCGAACCAGACTCATCTGAATAATGTTAACGACCTAAATACTAAACCTAAAAACAGGAGGAGCTAGTACACGGAGTGACACAGGATAAACGTCGTGCGATGAACATGAGACGTGAACAAGATAAGCAGACATGAATTAGTCGCGACGAAGAAATAGTGAAAGAGAAACAACGGATCTAGTCATGGGCGTCAATGAATGAACAAATAATTGCTTAAAGAAGTCAAAGGCTTTTTGCTGTTATTTTGCGTTGTTATTGTTACTTACGTTAGCCTCAGAATCATGGCTGTCTTCTGTGGGCGGGGGGGTGCAAGGTTGAGAAGGAGTTTGCGTGGTCTGCTTATCGTGGTCGTTCGTTGTTGTAAGGTTATTGGTGATAGCAGGAGTATTGTCTGTTGTTGTGTTATTATTGTTGCTGTTATTGTATGCGTGACTCACGTTCGTCTTGGTGGGGGCGGCGCTATTGTTCTTGTTGAGCGGATTCGTCGACGGGGTCTCCAGGCGGAGCACATTCTTCAACGAGGAACTGATCTACAGATGAGTACCGTGCAGCCAATAATTGGGCAAGCACGTTGAGTGTCAGGACAATCGCCAAAATGAAAGTGGTTCCATAAGGTCGGCATCGTTTTGCAGGAAAAATGACAGCATAGAGTGAAAGGAAAGCATACTTGATTTAATAGAACTGGTGCAGCTAAACTACTTAATGAGATAAAAAAGACTAATTGAAATTATTGGCTAACCCAAATGTAGCTGAGCAAATTAAAAGAAAACCTAATCACTGCTCGGTCCGTTCAGATAAAAGATTTAAGAGCGTAGAACAGCATAGAAAGACGTGTCAGCACCATAGAACGCGAAGGTAAGAATGCACGGAATCGTTTGATACCTCTGATTCCGTATAAAAAACGGTGCAAGGCTAATGAAATATAATCGCTATGTAAAATAGTAGGACGTAAAAACGGTTTCCATTAACGTCCTCACATACTAGGTTCGACTGCGCCTAATCCATACTCAGTCCATGTTACCTGGATACCCCTGTCGAAATAGTATTTGTATGTGGCGTCGTCAACAACCAGAAGAGTGGTTTCATTCGGCACCGCTTTGACACGATCAACGATCTCGCGATGAGTCAAATTTTCAACGTTCTCTCCATTCACCTAAAGACGAAACATAATTGATGAACGTCGGTAAATACTTTTTTTTTTAGTTTGTGCGACGACTAGACTTGCTTTTAATTGATGTCACGGGCTTTTGCCTCCCTCTACAACAATGCGACCTGATTTCTGTGAGTGTGTAAACAAAAAAATATTCACAACCGCAAAAACAATTAATCATTGCACTTCATTTAAGTTTATACAGCTGAAAATTCAGAATCGAGGGAGAATAGGTAATAGTAATTATAAATGTACCACATGCGAGTACATTTGAGTCAGAGTATAATTGGTATGTAATCCAACTCAAAAGATACTTTCGTTGCGTATGTTTACTATACATAGTAACGAAAAGTCGAAGCACGAGCCTAAACCTTCTAAAGATGGCAACATTAACACAGGGTACCAATGAGTGCACAACAGGTATTCACTTATGAGTAGGTGTACATTCCATCTATACTGCTTACTATTTGAATATGTAACCTACGTCATATTATCTTATGCATAAAACTGCATATCGTAGCACTGGACCTTGACCAGCAATCACTAATCCTACTACATTTTAATGTTCAGCTCATAATTGAAAGGTGTCTTTGAAAAATAGCGACAACGACTATCCAACTGTGATATGTTAAACATTTCTGATTCGTTCATCGTATCTTTACGCATACCAACTCCGCCTCAGATTGCTTTCTTCTCTTTATTTCGCTATCGTTATCAACTAATCGCAGCACTCAGTTAATTTGGAATACTGCTTCATTTAGTTAGTACTATGTTGCAGAGATATTACGTATTTGTCATAAGAAGAAGGCGTCAACACACATGAGTAATGCTATGAAGTTAGCCTTGAACTGACCTTGGATTAGGCTATCTTTGCCTGAACTTCCTTCCAAGTGTTAGGTATATTTTCAGAATCACCAAAATAACGAAGTTATGTCTAGGAGGGAATTTGTATGTGCTTCCATGTTTTTAACGGATGTTTCGCTGCGCTGCAGACTACTCATCTGTTTAGTAGACAGCGTTTTCGGTTCGGAAGTACTGAATTACAGTTGGGAAGGCAGATCAATCGCTAACGAATAAATAAACGTTAAATCGATAAATTCATTGTTCAAGATGTTTGACATATAAACGACTTTTAGAGAGACGCATGTGCCCCTAAACACATATACAGCCATCCACAAATACACAGAAGCAAAATAGGAACGGAAAATTCCACCTAAAGTAAATAACCAAGGGCGTAAATATGGATCGAGGAGAATCAGAACGTGAATTTCACAAAAAGAGTTTGTATAGGTGCATATACGGCACGAATAGTTCCAGTGACCAGTTATTTATGCTCGTGAACTGGTGAGCACGGTGGAGTTCCGGTAGCCAGAACAAGTATCATTGAAATTCCCGTAGTTTCTACTGTACTCACATGATTGCAGACAATATGGTCGCTTTGCTTTTTGTGTTGATCCCTATGATTCCTCAAAACAGTTAAATACCCGTTCCCAAGTAGCAATATGTGTTTTACGACTATCATATCACGTCTAGAATACACCGAAGTGGTGAGTAGCATTCCGAATACGAGCTCGAATGCAATAATAAGGACAGCAAAAGCGCCCTAATAATGCCTGTGATAAAGCTGTTGTAAACTGTGTATTTAGTCAGATATAGTCGGTAGTCGGCGGCCCTTGTTGTCGTAAAATACTGGCAACGAATCTTAGTAACGACAGAGGACGCTGTATAAGATCTAGGTTTTAGTCCTTCCTATTGCCGTTCCAATACTAGCAACCGTTTCTAGGAGGAGCCACTTAGGTATGAGTTGTTGTCGCTAGGGCTCAAAAAAGAGGCTCTCCTAGAGGACTGTGTCAGATCTCCCCCGAAGGTCAGTCCTGTATGCACTTCCACAGCTCATTTTTCTATGAAAAAAACATTTACCCATAATATACTCCTCGTTCAACCGTATAGTCTAACTGACTAGTTCTTCGCTACTGCACTTGACAGTTTTGTTTTGGCACTCATTTGGCTCACACAATGATGTTTTTGATAATTAATTCTCCCTGGCAACGACAAGGATCTTTCAGTCTTGAGTGCATCTCTTTCCTAGTCCGGACACGGACCGACTGGTATCACACTGCATGGTTAAAGCGACTAAAGCCGACTGTTAGCTAGACTAATAATTCTGGGTGTTGGTACTCTCTGCAAAGTAGTTATGTTCTAAGACAGAGATCGTTTTGTTGAATGAAAGAGTTCGTCACTAGAATTCGACAATTATTACGTCCTAAAACTTCTATCCACTATATGAGTCGATTCAAAAGGTACACTTGCTTTAAGCTAAACGACAGACACAAGCTTAACTTGCACCGTTTCCTGGTGCTATCGCTGTTTCGACCTACAATTCCCTCAGTCTCTCTCTCTGTAGGCTCTCTCTGATAGGAATCTCTCTGTTGTGGCCTGTTTACCAACGGGTGACCAATCCCGTAGGGAAAAACACACCATCGCCTAGGTCAACAACGGGGGCCGGAAATAGTTAGCACCTGGCAGCGAGGGAAACAATATGTTATCGTAAAAATCGCTTCGTACACGCCATAGCCGAACTAATCTTTTCGTTGCCGACGGATGGGGTAACTAAAACCGGTAGACTAAATGGTCAGTACTACTCTGGTATGCTGTAATAGAAGGTTAAGGCAAAGTTTCAACTCAAACGCTGAGACAGCCAAACAGACGTTCTATAAATAAATACTTTAGAAAAAATAAGAAGTAAAATCAATAAATATTAACAGCAGATCGGGTTTATGACGTCAACACACGAACCCCACATATAGAACTCTGCTTAGGACCATTAAGTCGCAGACGCCGTTCGTGGGGAGGACAGGTGGGCTCATGTCTTATATGCAGGTGGTCCTGGGCGAATATCGAATAAGTAAAATCACGTTGTGAACATTATTTTCGATGATAAACGAACCAGTGACAACCAAAAGGGAATATCACAAAATTTCCGAACGTTTTCAACGACATTCGTACAAATTAGTATGTACTGGCACCAACGACACTCTTATATAAGAGCGATTAAATATTAGAGTTTACGCCTGCGGAGAATCAACCTTCAACCTCATACTGTAACGAACTCATTAATTAAACGATAGACACCTATTGAACTTACTTATTATTTCGGCTGCGCCAAGGATCGCCTTGGCACTCGCTTTCATATTCGAATAACTCAATTGCCTAGGCTATAAAAAGTCCGTTGCCTCAAAATATAATAATAATAATTTATTAAAATTATATATATTAAGAATATTTAATAATAATTCTAGATTATAATATAAGGCAATTTAAAAAAGCTTTCATCAAGATACACGGCATAGAAGTAATCAGTACAACTCAGTTTGACCTAACGCAAAACCGGATTCAAGCAACATTAAGAGGCCAACTATTAAATGTCCCCGTATTTGCTTCTTACCTCGATGATTTTATCGTTTCTCTTCATGCCTGCAGACTCTGCAGGGCTATTAAGGTCGACGACTCCAACGAACTGGGTGCGCTTGGCTTTGTCGGCGTGCAAATTGAATCCATATCCTTCAAAATCGGCCCATTTGCGCAGATGGCAAAGCCTCGGCGAAGGAGCGTCGGATGGAATAACTGCTCCCGAGCCGCCGTTAGTCATCTGTAATAAAAGAATAAATAAAGAGTTACCATCAACACAATTTCCGAATGCATGATGCGCAATGCATCTTCGCATCAAATTATGGCTAACTTGATTATTAGCGTCATCTGGAAAATGCAGCACAATGCGAAGATTCTTGTTTTCAACTAAATTCGAAAGTGGCCAACTGAGGTCATATCATTACGTGGGTTATTAGGAAATTTAACTAATTTGGGTAATATCGATTCAACTTTCATTATTACGAACTTGCTGGTCTCCCTCTCCATTGCTTGCAAGTAACTGACTAGTCTCCGTTAGTACCTAGCAAGTGACTTCTATAGCGTAGATTTATTCAGCTTTGCTAAGTGTATCTTTTTGGTCCTTATGGCAGGATCACAGCGCCTAGCCTATCGGCCTCTAGCTTCGTTAAGGGAAACGCACGGGTCTAAGTGAAGAAAATTAGCCATCCATCCATAATAGCATTTTGCGAATGTTCTCATTAAATCGTTCCAGCGCAACGTTGACAAAATGCAAGCATTCGAATACTACATTATAGCTGGTTAATTTGCCATTTTTAACCTGTAATATTACTATTACGTCCCGCCTATCAATATTATTATCATTTATCATGTATATATATATATATATATATATATATATATATATATATATATATATATAATTGAATAATTAGTATGTTTTGTAACATACTATGAATACAGATCTGCTCTAAATTAATATTTTATTTTGCTAAGCTTGTCGCTATTATTGATTACCGTTATCGCACACAACCAGAAGATAGTCTATGGTCGAGTCCAAATATAAACTGTTTTTCGAGATATCGGCACGCGAACCATGCTGATAAGGGCAGCATCAGCAGAATCGCTAAGCGGCATTGCGCTACAACATGGTAGGTCTGCGCAGACCTTCAATATACCTGCTGACTGTCTCTGAAATTAGCACTAACTTAAATCGCACATGCATGCACCGCTAGCGACCATAGCGTGGATCAGTACAGCAGTCAATGAAATTACATTGTTATGGATACAAACGATGTGCTCCAATGTTGTCAAAGTTCCATTGCGATTTGGATGTTTTTTTTGGGGAGACTTAAAGAATCATTGTACTTTTTTTTGTACGACAGCCTTCGATCACCACTAAGGCGAGTATATTATTGTAGCAGAATGATGTTTATGCGATTAAATCACGAACTATGGCGACATGTTCGTGGCGCTTCCTGTGTAATCAAACACTGATCAGTTAAATGTTCAAAAAGAAATAACAGATACATTGCCCTTCTCGTGTGCAGCTACATTTCGTAAGCAAAACTTAGTTGACGGTTTGTGCACCTGATCAATATGACGGTGTAGCAAATACCTTAAATCGACGTATTCCTGACTTTAAGAGCGTCTTGAACAGCTTTACTTCGGATATTTTTGCTTTTACTACTGGTAGTGATGAGACGCTTGCCGAAAGACATTGGATATTTATTCTAGCCGAGTTATCGATTACTATTTAGCAGGTACACCTTGAAAAATGCGGCCAATATCCACTTAGAAAGTATCACTAATGATTTGGACTACATATTTCAGCGAATGCCGCAACAATGCGTAGTAGCATCTAGAGAAAACTTTCCGTTCACACAGCTCAGTCACAAATACGCCAAGCAGACCCGAAATATTGGTAGTGGCTTCCGTTCCTAAGCACGCGTAAATTTCAAAGTTCTACATACGAAACAACAAGAGCTGCAAACTTAGACCGACACGAGACTCAACTGACAAGCAAATCGACGCACTGCACAATTGCATTTTGGCAGCAGAGGAGGATACTTCACTTCTGACCAGTCACCGAGCCACATAGAATTTGTCCTTGGAAAGAAGTATAAATTTATCGACGTGTTAAATGATCGCGCCAACCAGTCGGACTAATCCACTTCACTCTTCGCGGTGTGATTACACAACAGTTAATCGGCGCTGATGTCAGCTGTGCTTCATTCGTCATCACCCTGTACCGGAAGCGTCGTTAACTGGAGCAGCAGCTATTACAACATCGTGTTTATCGTTTTTAGTATACGACAACAGAAAAAAGCTTACTTCGATTTTCAACATCATCATCGAATAACAGATGCACTCACTGCTCGCCTGTCCTATTTGTTTTTTTGTTTTCAAATAATTTTAAAGTTCTAAAAACTGTGTCGTCAGCTGACCGACAGATAAAACATACACAGATGCGCATGGACACTGACATTGGCAGGTAGGTCAACTAACAGATATAAATATTAATAGATGAATGTGCTTCTATCTAGACATGGTTATCAGCTCTAAACCTCGCGATTCTAACTCATGGAGTAGTGCGTGCGTTTGAGCTGAATTTGACATGGACATTCGTGTTTCGTCCTTCTGGACGAACCCGACAAAGTCTTCAGTGCCGCCACGGTAGCCTACCTTGATGCTTCCGAAAAAGCCATACTTATAGTTATACTGTTATATGAAGAAAACACACACAAAATCCTCCAAAAATCAAGTACACTGAATGTGTGAGAGGTAAACACGACCTCATACTAAGTGCAGCAAAAGCATAACGTAGAGTCGTTAGCACCGTCATCAGTTCTGCCGGCGCCGTCTGAATGGCAGAAATGTAAATCTCATGGAAATTCACAGACAAATGAAATGGTTCACATATCACTATTGATGTCGCATAAGAAAAACATTAGGATAGGTTAAGCCTCTTAATGCACCAAGCCATGTAAAGTCATTGCTTTACACATGTTCAATCCATATAAATCTTCCCGTGCATATACTTCCTGTCAAACCAGTGGCAATTCAAACATGCATTCGTCAAGCCAAGCCCGACTCCTGTGCCTTGATATTAGCTCATCCTAGCCGGGATGATATGTATGACAAGTACACAAATTTATAGATTTTCAATTCTACTTAAATACTCTTTTTACACGTTGGTTTCGATTTTCTGGCCAGAGCTTTTTGGTATGATAGTCCCTTTTGCAATCAAGTTCTTTTTTTTCAAATTTAAAATTAAATACTAATTTAGGCAATGTATAAGATGATATGTACGTTCGGCATGAAAAGAGTAGCAGCTAAATTCGTGTGAGTAGAAGCAATTTTAAACTAGGGAGTACAAGTTATGACTGAGTTGTCTGTTGATATTACACTCAAGCCAGACATGACCGCTGAGATGAACAATAAAATCAGGAGGAACATCACGTAACAGCAATAATTTTCTGTGGAACACGTAAAGCAGTGATGCTGCTTAGAGATCATCAAACCTTCTCCATTGCATTTTAACCTTAAGGAAGAAATAAAAAGGACAATGACTTTCAAGTCATTAACAAAAACCACCATCCATCCATCTACCGGTAAACCATAGAAGGCAAGGCTGTGGTTAAATGCCATTTTTAACAATGCATGATCTCTTCTTTCTTACACATTATAGCGGTCGTGTTTAAGCCGTATTTATAAGGGCTGACTTTGCCTGTTGTAGAGCCCTTGACCAAAGCTATGTCAGGCAGTCCAACCTAAAATGAAACCTAGACATACACGACCGTTTAATTTGTCTCTAAGCAATTGACAATGCGTGGCAGATATTTATTTCAAGTATTTATGTCATGTCGATCATGAAACGTGTAGTTGAGAGGGAGATGTTGACACACCCGGAAGCTTGAATCATACCTTTTTGTCTGCAATAGATATTGTTACAGTATCAAATAGGTCCGATTTGAGCAGCATCAACGAAACAAACACCAAACACAAGGCGGAACATTCCACACTAATTGAATGTTCTAAGTCTAAAATGAGCATGATGCGGGCGGGCGCGTGAGTGAAGTGAGCAAAACAGATCGGTCCATTCAGTCAACGAGAACCATGCCTCTGCTCCGCCGACGCTAATGTTTCACTTCAACCAATTTTTACATAGAACTAAGGAAGGAAACGAGTACTACTCGCGCTTCGCACAAAAAACATTGTTTAAGTAAAGTAAGAGCTGCTTAAATCTATAATCATAGATTTAAGCAGCTCTTACTGCCAAAGTTTAGGCTACGCCTAACAGTATCTAAAAATATGTCATGATTATACATGTCCATTTACTACGTTTATATACGTTTTATCGTACCTGTTCTCTGTCCTTGTTTGTGGACACGTAATATTTCTTATTTATAATTGGTGTTACGCCTTATTCACTATTTAATTTCCCTGTTGAGGGAGCACACATATGTATGTAAATGTAGAGGTCACGGAACTTTATCTAACGGCTTACTCGCTCGTATTCTGATCTAATTTAGGTGGATATTGTTACCATATCGATGAGAATTAATGGAACTATTTCTGTCGCATTTAGTTTCTCATGCTGATGGAATCGTCTCATACGACCCACGGCTCAGTTTACCTTAGTAGATTAACTGTATTTTTCGGTAATTTCTTTTATATTGCGATCTATGCCATAAGATAATCTCGCCTGAGTATTAATAAGAAATGTACGTGTGCTTTTGTTCACGTAAAGAAACTGCCTTAAGTCATTTCTAGCGGTCAATCTGTTCCTTCATTATCATATGGTCCGTTTGCTGCTCAACAGCTGTTTTTAACTAAGACAAGTACTGAAGCAGTAGACGCTCAAACAGGTAATGCATACAGAACCTAAACAGCGTAAGGGCTATATATATGTTGTGGATAAGTTCTGTTAGAATTTTGAAACAACTGTACGACCAGTATGTACTTGCAGACTAGATACATGCGTTGCAATATCGCTCATGTAAATAGTTGTCCTGTGTAGCTAGGCATCAAGCAAAAATTTCTTCGATTGTTATTAGGACCTACTAATAAAATTTAACAATGAGTATACATGTATGAGTATAATAAACAATGGGTAATTTTTAAATGGATCTGTCAGTTGGTTACGTAAGTGTGTCAATAGACCTCTTGCTTAAGGCCGGCCTTAAACGGGTCTTCTCTGTTTCGAAATCTAACAATCAATCGTTGCTTTCATGAGGCCTCTTACAATCTCGAAAAATGTACGGAACGTGTACGCCTGTTCTCATAGCTATACGATGAAAATCATAGGCCACGTTTTACATCCAACTATTTACAGCGCAAAGTTTATTTAATTCCTCGTCGCGATTACAATATAGTTCACCTGCATTGGTGACAGTCGTCTTGATGGGTTAGACAGCATATTACTTCCACTACAGTTCACGGGTGCAACTTTCAGCCAAAGAAATCGTTCCATACATGTGCGTTGAATCTATACAATTTTTAATTCATTTAAATACACCTATTGTTATTGTTTCTTTCTCTATACGTTTTTCTTTACCGGCCTCTTAATCCTAACGCGCATATAATTTCTACAAACAGTTTCTTTATCGAATGCCTTCTGTTGAAACGGTTTTATTAATGGAACGGCCTGTTGAGTCTTGCAGTTCACAAATGTACAACCCGTTTGGTTTTATGAGTCGATTTTTGTTTGCCATGGACACCACCTGCATAACCTCAATGTAACGAACAACTTAATTACAGTTACTCTACTGGTCATGGTTTGTAATCTATTTTTATTGACGGCTCACAGTGTCCCCATCTCATCGAAAGAATTACATCGCCATATAGACATATTCTAGTAGAATATCACATGACAGTCTTACGTAACAGCACACTCTACATGTCTAAATGCAAGAAACAGCGGAATAGATTGTATTACCAGCTAATCTTCCACTACTGTAAAACTTTGCTGGCTCTTGCTGCGCGCACAGCTATAAACTAATAGCAACATAGGTATTACCAATTGTGTTAGTTCGCGCCCATTTTAGGTATAACTCCGTGATTACATTTTTTTGAGCTTGCGCATCACATTCATCTGCTCGAGCGCAGCTTTCCGTTTACGATTCGGCGTAAGTTCGACCTCGAACGCGTCGGCGATCGAAGCGTTACTTGTGCCAGAGCCCGCCGCCGTTCTCGGCGGGCTGCCCATTACATCAACATCCCCGCCGGCGTCAGAATCTGCTGCGGTCGCCTCAGTCTTCACCTGCTCCTGAAACTGTAATCGTAAAGTGCTTTTCTCGTACTCGCTGGTCGTTAATGCCTGCTTGAGCTCATACAACAACACCATACAATTACGCAGATCGTTAAAATGCTGCACAACATCTTCAAATGCGGGCGGATTCGGGTCTACGTTAAGCTCTTTGAGCATCTGCTCGAGTGCTTTTGTCTTCTTCTGTCCGATACTTTGCGGCAGTTTCATTCGCGCACTGCGTAATGACGTGACCGCTACTTTTAATTCGGGAAACTTGATTGCGGCGCTGAGTTCGATCTGTCCAATATCAATGAGGCTTGTGGATGAAGGCGCAGAGCTTTTCTCTTTCTTCTTCTTTGGTGCAGATGGCGCCGGTGTGCTAGTCTTCTTTTGATTTGGCTGGCTAGCTCGCTGTTCATTATCCTGGATCATTTTCTGTAGGTCCTGTGTCTTACGTTCGCGTTCTTTTTTGCGCAGGTCAATCTTTCGAAGTTCCTGGATGAGGTTTTGCTCTTCTTCAACTTCTTCCGGAGTTCGGGATAGCAGCTTGTCGAGCTGCTCTTTACGGCGTCGCTCGTGATCCGCATCGAATGCCTGAATTTTCACTTCAGTGCCGGGTGGTGCACGGATCTTCTTCAGTGTATTACAGATTGAATAGTAACGATCCTTGATGTCCTCGACACTACGATCTTGATACGTTTTTCGGTCCCAGCGGTCCTTGATGATGATGAAACGCAGGTCAAAACGACGTGCCATGTCAAACAAGTAGTCGGTCTCCGCCTTCGTCCAAGTATTGCACATGAGGTTTTGCTGATACTCTTGGTCTGTATACGAGGGAATGGCCACCTCTTTATTGAACTTACAAAAAGCGTACTCTTTACCTTCATCGGCAACTCGCGCCCAGTGATGCAACTTGAAGCTGTCTTTCCTAGCCGGATTTTCAAACGTCTGAAATCGCCATGAGCGCACCTTCTTAATTCCGAGGTTTGCTTTGACGTTCATATAGCCACCACCGGCAGACGGCTTAAAGTCAGTCATGAACAATGGAGGTGGGTCGTTTCGATCGTAAAGATTGTACACTTCTCGGGCCATGCCCTCTGGCTTACGAGTGCCCAGGGAGGAGCGCTTCTTTGGTTTGTTATTGGTGCCAAGGATGGCATCTTTTGAGACCTCAAGTTCATTATTTCGCTCGATCTCTAGAATATCGAGAACGTCAGCACTCATTGTGGAGGCAACAATGTTATTGCTGCTGACTATCACTGGTGAATATTCGAGTCGTAGATGGAAGTCACAGCAAACACGATATAATGAACGCAGCAGCGTCAATGCGGCGTTCAGCAATCTATTTGGTCACCATATACACACACAGGATTAACACAGCTAGCTGCAAGCGAATTATAAGGTCTAGCATAATTTCGGCTAACGCAAGGTTCGAAAATGGAACCTTGCCCGTAATGCCCACTCCGCTTTCATTGATGTCTTTAACAGCACCACTTCAGCTGCCTGCCTACAGCTAACTGGCATCACAACAAATTGGAAGCCATCTTGCGATCGCGGCGCCAGTGGCGGGAGATTTAAAAGTGCGGACAAACAAGCAGTCCTTTCGTCGTTGGTTGATGGCGCGCAAAGAACACAACTTGCCAGATGCCGTCAATCAAGGCCGGTAGTGGCTAAGAGCAAGACGCTCCGTGAGCGGATGGCTTGCCGTAATGACTACGATTAGGCCATGCCATCCAGGAAACTTTGCCGACACTAGTTCAGGATAGCTGCTCGCAATAGAAATGACTCAGCATATAAAAGAATCAAGTGGCGGCTGGTCTGGTAAATGAGTCCAGAAAAACGATCTGTCCGGTGGATCGAACGACATAAAATCGAAAACATTTATGCACTATACGAATGATCAGGAATGACAGAATGGAAGGCGAATCACCCTGAGTACGATGATCTTTGACAAAACAGTGTCAGTGCTGATGGAAGAGTCACTAGGCGGCATCCCAAGGACGTTGCACTATTTCGACGTTATAGTTTGGTGACTGTAGAATCTCCGGTAAACGAATCCTGGACTTGCTGGTTTGTTTCTGCATTCTTGTTTGACGCAAATGCTCAGATATGTCAAATGAATCTGCACTTCTGTTTCGATTGTACTATTTTTAAGTATAGAAGGTAGGTTTAAGTATTTGCACACGATTTTTTATGACAAACTATACTGGAAATTTGAAAATAGGATTTTTCACTTATACGCATTTGTATCCACTTAGAAAGTTATGACAAATAAAAATAATTCTACAGCATAACGCCTGATAGACTTTTGGTTAATTAGTGCGTATATATTTTTCGCAGCTCGAGTTATCATCTTCACTAGTTAGTTAGAATATTTCTGTCTTTTGTCACGATTATCAGGACCAAAACCTATTCCAGTTTTGTTCCATCGGCAGGAGAGTATTACATTCTTAGAGTGATACACGGTACAAGCTGTTGAGTACATATATATACAAGGAAGAGATGAATAAGATGAATGAGAGCTTCTGATAATTTTGTCTCATTTCTCTCAAAATACCTAAATCCTATAAACCAGCTTAACTTTCGTTCGAGACCCGTCATCGAGTCCTGTCCATCAGTTCCTCCAATTACATACTGCACGCTGTATGTTGCAAGCGCAAAATAATCTAGCAAAAGACTTTGCTAGGCAATCGAAATCAAATTTATAGAGTTGGTTGCGTCTTCCAGAACTGTAATGACGAAGATAGAGCATTAAGCGTACGCCACAAACGACATGAACTCTTCTCCCAAGATGATAATATTAAGGCCTATTCGATTAAGTAAGCTCTAAACATCGGCATCACTGCCAATGTTTAGAGTCTACTTTCGTCTGATTAAATGTAATTTTCAATAATTTTTAGAAATACACCCAGTATATACATGCGACGCAATGTTATAAAAGGTTTTTATAAAAAGTTTATCTTTAGTCTACCTGCTACATCATAATGACGCTTTTGGTCTGAACAGTTTTCTGCTTTTTAGCCTGTAGTGTTTGTTTCTATGGAACTACGTAAATAGCCACGGCAAAGGGCAAGATATTATTCCGTAATACGTGACGTAATCCACCAGGTCAGCAGGAGTGAGCGGTCAGTCCATCTATCAATCAATCAAATAAACGAACCCATTATTGGAGGCGATAGTAGTTTTTTTTTTGTTGGAGCTAGCTAAAAGCAATCGTTTTCATCGTTACATCTTATTCGCAACCGGTCGACGGGTATTGCTAGTAATCATCATTATCGGAATACAAGAGGCTTCTTTTATCTAATTATATGCTAGCATGAAAAGTATTTAAAGAGCTGTAAACGAGTACCTCTTGTAACGACTACCGCTGCAGCGCACGGGACGCTTGATAAACAAACAGCGTACTTATTGAGCATAATATTGGGAAGAACGGGGAAAGGAGACAAAGCTGAATTAATAACCTTTCTTAAGCGAGACCATAATAAACACTGATTGATTGGCAGCACAAGCAATTTGCAATGTTTAGAACAGATTTTAAATTTAGCACTCGGTAGTGTTCTGGGTATTCTTTCTGTATGTAAAATATATTGTCCGCCTAGATGAAATGTACGTTCTAGGGTGTTAGCTAATTGGCACATGTGAAGTATTCGTTTTCATAGAATGGAACTATCTCTTTATCTAGCGGTAGGGAAACTGCCCAAAAATTACTTCAAGCGGTTATAACAGGCTTACACTATGGAGCAAACTACTTCGTTTTGATGAGGATTTTTTCGTTTTGTGATAGCTTTATTAGTAATCTTCGTAGTAAACTTGTGCTTATCTGAACTTTTTAATTTTTTGTTTTAGGCTAGAAAGGACGCCGCGGATACGGATGACCTATCTAGCAGTTATCTATACATTCCATGAAACCCTAGTCACAAATTTGGTATTCGGTGTTGACATTTAGCTTAAGTAAGCTTCCTTTAATATGTAGGAAGGGTATTACACAAACGAAGTCATTCGAAGATTTATTGAAGGGCTACATATAAGCTACGTAACATCTTAAGTCTGTGGACTTGGAATATCGCTTCGGTTCTCTCTGGAGAGAGGTTTCACCTGTTTTTCGTAGCTGAGTACTCATTAATTCATTCTGGAGTTTTGTCATTACATTACTACACGTTGGAAGATCTAATCGCTCAAAACCTATGTGATTACTTTAATTTAATTAACCATAAATACGAATGCAACAATAAGTTTTAATAAATTGCATCGAACCCTCTCTCCTATTATCCTTTTATATGGACGTGTATACCCGCATTGTTCAAAAGAAAAAGGAAAATCGTGAAATAGTGCCGTTCACAAATGACACCTCAATTAATATTTAACAAGACGATAAATACCATTTTTAATTCTATGGTAGTACAGAGTAGGCCATATGATAACGGAGTGCCCAAGTTTTCACATGGCATGAAATGCCTTAGGAGCATAGGCTTGAGTCTTCTGGATGGCTCTTTTAGAAGGCGACCATAAGATTGTTAAGGAACGTCATTTTTTAGCCTTACGTGACCTCGATGCCACGCATTTATCAAGGTAGACAAATGTAGTAACTGTTCTTCTACTTCCAACATGAATCATAACACATAGACATACCGTTGACGGGCGAATGCCACTCCTCTATGTTGCCCTAAGTTTAGCTGTAGTACAGTATTTTCTCAGCAGAAGACAAACGGCAAGAAATTAGTTGCCAGATAAAACTAAATAGGCGAAATTTAGCAACGTCAGGAAGGGTAGCGTCGTCTCAAAAGTTCATTTAAATGCGTTAGAATGATTTTCCATGTTGCGGTTTTAATTGAAGCGAATCGATCTAAATTTCTTGTCTTCAATAACGTGAATAATAGCGCGATGAAGAATTTTTTTAGGATTATCGCTAGATATCTTTACCTTTCAATCAAATTCAATGGAAGGCCAATGGACAATAATCATTACCAGATCGAGACACAGAGGAGCAATGGCTCCAGTACGTAGTCCCCAAGTTTCAGCCCTTGGCCTCATAATGTGATATCTAACAAACGACTTTTTAAATTTAAGAAAGCTACAAAGAAACACTACTAATCGGCACCACTGACAGAGTGTTCAACGAGTTGAGTCGTTACACACATATATATCGTGTGCTTCTATATTAAATTTATTTTAACAACAAGAAGCATTACTTTGTGCGGCATATGGCAATATGAAGGAAAGGCGAGGTGCGACGGGAGGTAACAACTAACCAACGCCAACGGATATATAGACATTAGATGTGCGCACGTGGTACACGCACCCCTTCATCACAGACCAGTTCCGTCACTCGTGCAATAACAGCGTTAAGAATATCAGCATTAACAACAACAACAACAACAACAACGATGTCAGATGTTTTGTGAATAGAAGGCAACTGATTCACTGTCGCTGCGGGACCTGCGATGGCGGACGTCAATTACGAACTATGAAAGTGTCGGGCGACAGCAGTCGGCGTTCTGGCAGTACTCATATACCGTCAACTGGGCCGGGGTCGCTTCCAATACATCTCTTTTCTCCACTCAATCCGCCAGGGCAAATTGCCCCGCAGTCAATTCGCAGGTAGACAGCATATACTACACAGAGGAGAGAACAACCGGCGACTGCTCTAAACGTTGCACGTTCCGTCTGCTACATCAAATGATCGTGCTAGCATTTAACCCGCCGGTTAAAATCGTTGACAGAACGAAGTAGGTGCTGCTAGTGGGGTAGACGTCGTCGTGGAACCTGGTCCTTCGCGCAAATTAATGACGCATGTATGTAGGTGCCGCTGCTAACAACTGAATAGATTTCGTCGTTCGTCATTATCGATATATCATAGACGACAGAACAAGCTGCACCGGAATATTCGTATAAGTACACCAACAGAGGCATACTTCTACAAGCAAGCTCGCAATAGAGAATCAATAGAGCGGGGCATAACAGTCAGTTGGTCAGTTCCTCTTATTGTTTCTTTTTTCACCAAATAATCTAATATAATAACGGTAATAGACAGTGACTTAAAAAAACGCACTGTTTTTGTTTGTTGTCTAACTGATCAAGCAGCGCGTTGCGGGTACTGTTTGGGAGCTTGAGATGGAGAAGCTCATATATTTCTTTGAATTAGGCTATCTATTTCAACGCAGAAGTTGGTCGATGTGCGCGTTAACCTACGAGCGGTATACAGGGCGATTTTCGAATACACCTCTAGGAGACACCAATATTTAAATAAGAATACAGAGAGTGAACTGACAGCTTCTATGTAAGGTTATTCGACTGGATAGAAGTTTTCTTCGTAAAAATAACTAGTCACTATAAATGTGTTTCATCCTATAATATATTATCCAGCGGTTTATGTTAACGGTTCAGAACTAGTCATTTTGTTATAGTTGCATTGCGTAACTTGCTCGACCCAACGGTACCGCTGCCGCTAGCTGCATTAGTACTGTATTATGAGAAGTCTACTCTGCGCTTTTTTCTAGCTAAAGTTTGCGTAAGGGTTAACGTAATAGTCACCTGCAATCTTTGAAATGGGAGTTCCCTTTAGTGGCTGTTATTCAGTTAAAAATCGCCCGGGATTTTGTTTACTTGAATTGCTGATGTCATATCAACGTAGCTGGGCTGATCATGTAACTGACAGACAAATCGAGTATGGTGTTGATACCAGACGAAGTAGATTCTCGACATTTTTTTTGACTCTCTGTAAACAAATATTGGTGAATATATACGGAAACTTTGTGTAAGGGTACTACAGTAGAGAAGCTGTGTTTCTGACAAACAAATTTTTAGAACAACCCAATCGTTCTTGCAGTTTTGGTCGCCGATTTTTTACTAGCGGTCTGAGCGAGAAAAATCTATCGGGGCCTGTTCGGAAACCTTAAAAGGCCCCCCAGCCATTAGCTCAGCAAGGGTCTCATTGCAACCGACAAATAACGCGTTCGCAAAACTATGAGTAAAAATAGGGGTCTGTCCAATTTCAGTACAATTACCAGTCGTTTGCTATACTTGATTCGCTAGATCGAAGATTTGTTGTATTTTTTACTCAGCATATATAAATTTGACAAGTTCTTATGGGAAGCATTCAGCGTAACTTTGCCGCAAACGACTTCTGATTTTTATGCATGTATCTGAATTATAGTAGAAATGCTAATCCAAACGGTATAATTCAGATACACGCGTACTCGTTGAGTTTGAAGGAGCTCGAGAACGAAGAATAGCTGTTGGGCGTATATACTCAAACGCTCGTTTATAAATATGGTGGCGAAGTGACGTAATTCCATAGGGAACCGCCCGACCGCTCGCTTATTTGTTGATTCACCACAGCTGAGGGAAACGTTTTGTAAAAGAGGCCTCAAGTATCAGATACTGTCGAATGGAGATAGTTCCACTTACGATATTATTTGCTGGTGCGGTGCTAGTTGATATCCCTTGCAAGTTAATGCTCGATACTTAGCAGAGAGTGTGTTAGGAGCTCAATGAGGAAGGGAAAGGGAAGAATCGTGCGGAATCAACCACATGTCAGAGGCCGCAGTCCGCGCGAAGTTACGTTGAAACACCGCTAAATTGGGAACTTAAGCATCGCTGACTCTTCCGAAAGTCGCGCTTGTCATTCTATTATAATCTTATACCATATATACGCCGTAAGATAGGTAAGTTGTCATACCCTACGTTCTCCAGAGCTTCTTCGATTGACGTTCAGTAGTATCCGAGGTTATGCCAGCTTCTAAAACGGCGGCGTGTTTCAGCGTAACCTATGACGGCTGTAATTTTACTACTTCACAGGTTCGGGTTGCCAGGCAAGATTTTGTCTGCTTCTGCTGTGGAACGTATCGACCGCGGACGAGCCGATGACCGCATGGTAATTATGTTGATGATGCCATTTGAAATAGCCACTTCCCACGATTCTCGACATTTCCTTAGCGGCACACACTGCAGTCGGGGCAGATCGTGCGGATTGCGTGGATTTTTTGTTCGAGCAGCAGCAGCGGTGGCGACTGTAACAATGATCACGATTTGAGCCAGTATCAAAGTAGACCATTGCGATCGCAATGATGGACCAGAGTCGACCGATGCATGGAGGCACTTGCGGACCACCCAACACTGATTATTTACTTACGAGCCAAGCGTGCACAGTCGGCACCCGTCAAGAACCAAAGTCTAATACAATATTACAAAGCTAACATTTAATGGTAGACAATAACGACTGGCATAAGCTAGCAATTTGGGAGCTGCATTTCGGTTCGCGCCTAGAGAATAACGCTCCTTCGCGCATCGATTTTAATCTGTTATTGCACCATGGAAAAAAAATAGCGCTGGTTTGGGGCATTTGCCCATTTTTCTTGTCATGTAAAGCTTCGCCAACGAAACGGATCGCTTTGCGCGTCAGGTGCTAAATCATCGTTTTTCCCATATGCTAATGGAACACATGTGCAGACGAAATGCAATATCCTGGGTAGAATTCGAAAGTTTTTTTTTTCAATTTCTGAGCTAAATGCATAGTATTTCGTATCATCGAACGATGCAGACTGGAGCACTAACAAGCGAAAAGGATAGCCCTAGTCGCAATAAGACCCGGACTGCCACTTTGTGATTGAATATCATTTACTTCGGTTCTATTGGTGGGTCTCGCTATTTATTTTTCGCCGATTGCGAGCGACCTTCCAGTAGGATAATATGTAGTAGATTCTTTCTCTCCTATCTGTGCCACTGCTAGCATCAACGCTTTAAGATAATTCCGCCCTGATCTTTTGTTCTAAGTTTCTGTGTGATGTCAAACAAATTATAGTAGAGGGTCTTGTTAGATGTAGGAACCTTAATATAGCACAAAAACTGCTTCGATTTTACCGCCGCGGAACTATGTGGGCGCTTTCATCTTCCAGCATCGCCATCTTCAGCCGGCTTTAGGGATACTTCCGGGACAATTGTCGGCAGCATCTTCTGATCAACAGACCATTCTGATTCATTCGCTGCAATCGGATCTACATGAGTGGCTCCTTAGCTGTTTTGCACGTGATCGATATACCCTCGGGAACATTATCGTGCAGCGTACACTAAGACAAAGATCTGAATCTGAAAGTTTATAGCGATTTTCATATTACATTGACGCGTCTTTCATGTGTCATGCTGCAATTTTTTCGCTATCATGCCCGTGCGCGCTTGCTCGTACACCTGTATAAGCATCCATACAACTGCGTATTTTTCGTGCGTCAGTGGTTGGTTGCTCTTGTGCTCGTGTACTTCTATATGACGAAGACGACGAAAGTGAAAACTGCCGTCTCTGTTTTAATGTTTTCTTTATGGCGAAGCTGCTATAAACGGATATGGACGGATGCGATCACCATCAAACGGTCGACCGCGTTAATGCTTAAAAATGACGACGAAAACTGCGCGGCAATAGTAGCTGTCGTGCCGGCCGAGGAAACTCGGAAGATAAGAGATAGAGGAGCACTGGCGGGGTTAGGCTGACCTTGGCCATTGTCATCGGGAAATACCGTCCACACGCATCCGCTTATTTGCCTACCCGTCAGTTTATCGGTTCGATCATCAAGTAACGACGATTCATCTCTGCTGTGTGACGGGGAAGTTCTTATGCTTGCTTGTTCTTTCCTCAATATGTCTATTATTCATCTGTCTGTGTCCGTGCGTGTTCGCTTCGCTGGGGCGCTTTTGCAACGATCCCCTGGATCGATCTAGCCGTCAAAACTACGGAATACCGTCAAGAATCGTGAACATCCATATGTCCTACCATATGGCCACATACTAGTGGCATACTAATAAAATTAGACGTGTATGGATGATTCGTATCTATCTGTCTACCGCACCATAGGTAATTATATCGACTTACAGCTTTTATAAATTTAGATATAGCATTTATCTTCCGTCCGCTGCAATTGTGCGTATTGGTGTTGGCGGCGAAAGCATTAACGGGACGGTGACATGTGCTGTGTGCTGGCTTGACACGCTGATGACAGCAGCACCCATAAGAAAACGTGAAACTGTTACAGGACAAATCAGCAGAAAGCAAACGATGAACGACCCTGTATTGTCCGTACAACGATGCCGATGGACGGGTGGCCCTGACTCTGTCTGACGATTCGGCGCGATTTCGGTCGAGAGGCAGAAAAAAGAGAAAGACACGAGCTTGTTCGCCGTCAGGGATGATGACCCGTGAAAAAAGGCAATCCAGACGGTAAAGAGAAACGCAGCTTCCCGTACCGGACAGTGGTACGGGCTTATGCTGCAATTATTAAAGCAATAACGGTACAGCTAAAGATAGACAAAGTTCTATCGGTCGAAACCGAACGCATAGAAACGTTTTGGTGATGATCTACCGAACCGATTATTTTTTGAACTGGTACTTCTTTCTCGGTTGCTTGATTGTCTTGTGGGTGGCACACAGTCGTTACCTTGAGCTCGAATGAATCACGAAGGTATTAACGGATTTTGAGAATGCCCCTGATCGAAAATATCCGCGGATGAGACGAACGCTTTTAATATGCCAGTCGTTTAGTTTAGTTTCGTATCTTTTCAAATCAAATATACCTTTGTATAAATGTACCTTGTATAAATGTATTGCGTATCCTGTAATCACATTAAAGATTAGATCAAACAAAACCTATTATATATTATTATAATGTGTTTATTACCTCAAAGCTAAGTCTTTATTCATATAATGAGTTTTTTTTTGTTGATAAGCGGCCCTGTACACCATATAGTGCATAACTTATCGGCCTTATGTCTTGGCAGCGGGAAGTCATAAACAACGAGGTCATCATCACAGACGAGGTGTTGATAGTAACGTACCACTTCCTGTAATTACGATTTGTTGCTCACTCAAAAATTTATAAAAAAAAGTATTACTAATCGTAAATTCGTAGTTTGTTGCTAACTTTGCTTAGCGCTTTTACTAAACTTTTATCCGTGCATGTGTTTTTCGGATACGTATGCGTCTTAGAGCTACATCGACAGACTACGGAGCTACGAATTCGCCCGAGACACTTTACGGCCTTGTCCTGTTTTGCTAAGTTGTTGCCTTCGTGCTGTTCGTGCGGATGACTGTTACCCGCTGTAACTGAAGTTACTATTTTTGTTGTGGTTAGTATTGTCTATTTCCATTAATGTTGCTTTTTCCCGTGAGATCGTCGTTGTGATGATGATTACCGGCGTCGGAGCGGCTGGGTGACCGCGGTGGGGTGAAATAAGGACAAAGTAATGACATCGAAATTTACCAATCCAATATCAATAAACAATCAGCGCAAGCAATAGTAAGAACAAGAATTGTGGCGGGAGACCTTAATAGTAACAGCTATTGTGATTAAATCAAAATTACAGTTATGCAGGCCTGCTACAGAGGAGCGACTTACATACCCGAGATCTTATTGCCTGGCTATTTGAATGGCTTATTGACTATCACTAAGGCCAATACGAACTACGAAATAGAAAAATCATTACATCTATATATGGCGCATCTTCGCGCTGTACATTGTATAGTATTTGTTTTCGCTGTATTGATCTTTGATTGATATGATACAGTACAGTATCAGTAGATCAATTGTACAGACAACAGATCACACCTGCGTTCAATTGTAGACCTATTTAAAAATCATGAGCGCTCTTAATAGTTTATTCGTGACGCTCTAGTTAAGACTAATGGTAAGGCAGCAGGTTTGCTAACAACGTGTGTTAAAACATTATGGTTCTAGATGCTTACAGTCTACGTTACATATTTTTCTTATTCCAGGGCTTTTTATGTTTGTCAAACATCTCATTTGCCATCACAAGCAAGGACGTCAATATGTAGTAAATTACACGAATTGCCCTCAGAGTTAATCGAGGATTATAAATCTATCTGTCGGGTCCGCTGTTTATCCGGTAGCTGGCGTTCGACTAGGCACGTTGGATTTTGTCTGCATCTTTGCGCTAGCTCACGTTGATGCCTAGGCCAGCTTAAGTGACAGATAGGTACTGCTTGTGGTTGGGTGCACTCTGTTAGCAGAGGGCCAGCCTGCCTATCGGCGCCTGGCATGAGGCCAGGCAATTATTGGTTTGTAGCTATGGAAGGCCTAGAAACTACTCACTCTCGTATCGTCCTGTCACGTGCTATTTCTACCGAATAGTTGACAAGGAAATCGACCTCGGCCATAAGCCTAGTCATGGTCATGACAAGCGCCATGGCTGAAGCTAACAATAGCGTTTCGTTTATGGGTGGCTCTTATCTTGTTTGGCAAAGCGCTAGCCGGCGGTATATCGGCGTGCAATACATTCTGGCGACATCCAAGACGATGGAATGAAGGACTTAAGTAGGCCATTAAGTTAGCTACATCCGCTCGTAAATATTTTACAAAATACTAAACTTTTGACTCTAAACAGTTGACGTTATGGCTTATCTAGCAGCTTTACCCATTTATCTTAGCTTCATTTACAATTCTGTCTATCCGGCATAGTTAAAGTCGTATCTGTTTCCGGCCTTTTTGGACGACCTTTTTCAAACGAATCTTCAAGTGTCTATGGGAAAATACTCCGAAAATATGCCGAATATTTTTAATACATTTTCTTGTGACATAAGTTTACGTGATGCATAATAATAATAATAACAATAACTTTAATAATAGTTTTTCGCTAGCATTGAAAAGTGCGATACACTCCCTGCGATATACTTTCTAATTTATAGTACACAAGACAAATAAGAGGGATCATCCTTTCAGTACACGACGCCACTCAACTAGCGTATAATAAGGCTATTGATGTTTACGGATAGTAAATTACTCCACTTATCATTTCAAAAGTCATTGGTAAAGATGGTACCTAGGAGAAGCTTGGTGATCTTTTTGATAAGGATAAAACAATTATTAGAAGCACTAAAATACGGTAATTGTTGGCGATGAACACCGCGGCAAACTACATTTGACTTATTGTTTTTAATAACACAAAGCTCGGGTAAATCGTTTATGCGACGATCTGTCGTACACGCAGGTATAGGATTATACTACGAAATAGTTCAAATCAGTTTAATTACTCCGTCAATAATCTGGTTGAAGCTGAAACGTTTTTTCTAGTCATCGTCCGTATCTGCGTCAATGATGTATTAATACAGCGAGATACCGACCCTCATCATGCCACCCGCTATCTAAATGCCAGCAAACGTTTCTTATTTTTGCCCATTCACTTTTGCTTGATCTGAGTAATAGACTGTGTGTGTTTGCCGCGCCCCATGCTTCATCGCCCCTGTAAATAAACCTAATAACGATTTCGACAAGTGAGTACTCGTTTATAATTTTCACTTGCGTACCCCCTTATGATTCGGGAGGGCGTCGTGCCAAACAACCACTGTTACTGCTAGAACGAGTCGCTGTTAGACTGACAATGTGAACTGTCAGCCAGAAGCTGACGTAGGCAGCGACCTCAATATTGATGGAGATTCACACCACATGTCACCACATAAATGTATGTATGCATAGATTTTTGTCTTGTTTTTTCTCATCAATGGTTGCGACACCGACGATGGCAGGACTGCTGTAATCGCGTGCTTTACAGGACGGATGTCACGGCTGGTTTCACTACTGTTTCGAACGTCCTGTTTCCCGTATTCGGTTGTCTTTTCCATGCCTCTTCGGTCGTTCTATACTTCGCTCATATTTGCCGTCAAGTGCTCTCAGGGACCGAATATACATCTAGAGAGATAACAATGTTACGGGAACCTAGCCGCTACAGCTCTTATAACGGTAGCCTTCACACTATAATTAGCACGGCGATAACGGCTGACTGGAGTACGGTGGCGTCATATGGACGGGGCGGTAGAACTGGTGATAATGGCGTTTTTGGTTTGTTGAGGTTACTACGAAATGCCAAATCTGGGTCTAGAGACCGTTTTCTTTCAGATTTAGTTTTGATTCTTCAATATTTTATATACGACTTTATCTAATTAATAAATTTTAAGTCCCGAACAGACTCATGCTGTATAGAGACTTTCTCACAATAATCTCTGTCTCGTGTGCGCCAATATAGTTATCAGTAATACGTCCTGTTTAATCACTGTTCATAGATATACGCATGACAAATATCGTCTTGTTGTACAGTCAGGCGGTAATTCATCACGTACTAAATCCAATTGGCTGGTTCTCTTGAGCATTTTTTGATCGCAAGTCGATAGCTGCTCAATTAGTTTGCATGTCACCTTACGTATATAAGGTGATAATTATATAATTTGAAATCGTCCTCTTTTTTCGTCGCCATTGGTGAGAGGTACGCTAACATTGAAACCATTATCATTGCTACTCTTTACAGCCGGATTTTGCATCAAACAGATCGATCGACCGACCGACAGGCAGCCAGATCGACTCTTTTATAATAATCATCGTCTAAGGATTGAACAAATCTTGCATTGGCAAAACGGAACGCACACAGTCTCGTTACAGAATTTAGGTTGCTATCGTGAGCCATTCTCGCGCGCTGTTGTCGCTTATTGTTCGAGAATACCCCAACGCTAATTGGCATAGATTGTAATGGCGATGATTTGCCTGTGTTGGGTAAACTTACGTAGAAGGCTCGCTTTCAGTGTAGCATTACGCGGAGCCCTTATGCGGCTGCAATCGCCGAACCGTAACAACGATCAGTCCAAGCCTGATCAATCTGGGAGCCCACGTCCTGATACGAAATGCGCAGGTCTAGTAGGTATGCCTTTTAAAGCGTCGTCACAAGATTCAGTTGGCTAGGTACGTACAGCGCAGAATAAGTCGTCTGACGGGCCACATTGAGCAAACGGCAGCTATCAGTTTGCATCCTTCGACCACTCAAAAGGACGAGCTGGGATCTTTGACGAGCGCAGGTACCAACCGATTTTAAAGATCGACAGTTACAACATTCAAAGTAACGCTTTGTCCACATAATCAGCCTTTCAAAATGAAACAAGGCTCACTGAGTCAACGCATAGCATACTTCTTTAACATTCACATATATTGTCAGTATGGACGCTTAAACTTTTTCACAGTTTCACAAATATTAGAGAAGTCTTCCCATATCCACCAACCTAAGTATGTACTACCGAATACTCAAGTACGTGTAGGTAAAAAAAATGCGTCTAACAAAATTCTCATTTCTATTTCCACTGGCGTTAAGTGCACGCGGGGCTTAAATGGCCGTCGCTAACTGTGCGCTTGCCGCTCTTCTTGTACCCACGGTAATAGTGAAAGAACATAATGATGGTCCTACTCGTGACGTTTACCGTGTGCGCCTAATAAAAATTATCAGCCACCAGAGGTCTATCGTCTGTTTTTGCTGGGAACCGAGGTGGGCTCCCTTTAACCGCCACTACCAACTTCCTACGCTATATAATCACCGCGTTGACTGTGAATATTTACACAGTAACTAGAGGCGCATTTTGTAGTGTCAGTTTTAACGATATCATCTCTTTTTTTAATTTTAAAATATAGTTTGAATCAGATGAAATATGCCGTGATATTTTCCTAGCTCGAGAAACTTACATTATACCCTGTCTTATCTCCAAGGTCGACTTTCGTAATGGCTAAAATAAAATGGCACATAAAGGTCATTTAAGGAAAGGCTAGTTATATTAGCAGTAGTTTCTGTGCTTTTCAAGCAACAGACTCAATCATCACGAGAAAGACCTTGATCTCCATATTGTAACACCAATGTGAGCCATACGTAAAGCACTGTATTACTACTTTTGTTGTACCAGCGCAAACGGTATGTTAACGTGCATACCAGTTAGTATTTTTGCTATATAAACTAATCCTCTATCTTACACAACTAGGCTGGTCGATTGCCCGATGCACGTGAGCATCTACCTCTTAAAAAGTTCTACATTGAACGATCTCCGGTTGCCTTTCGCCGACAAGGCACACGAACGTTAAATACAAAACGTACTACGTTCTCAAAAGGACCATTATAATCCTGGAAGAAGCAGCGTTCTATTAAGCTTCTTGAGTCTGTGCATAGATTTATCTTCACACGCCGTATTGCTTCATGCCCATTTGTGTGTACCAACACTCAAAGACTACATAATTACGTACCTTCGTCGCATTTCGTTGTTGTTGACGATGAAGTGCCTGTTGTTGTTCTTTGGCGCTAGTTAGCACTCTGACAGAGGGCAGACTTCCATGGATGACAATGTTCCTTTCACGATACCATTGGTCACTAAGCGGATCAACAACGAGCAATCGAGTCTCATGGGCCACAGCCTTAATACGTTCAACGACCTGGAAGTGAGTACAACAGGACGTATGGCAGGTGAGGCACGAGACACTATAGAAACGGAAAAACATACGTACTAGTGCTCTAAGTTTCAACAGTGGAGAAATACAACTTTAATTTGCTTAGGCTAATTAAGGTTTTGGACCTGGAGTCAGTAGAATTTTCCTTCAGTTCCAGTAAACGTTCATCTCCGGACACAGGAATAAAGACACTTCGGTTATGAATGAGACGGATAGACAGATGGACATGTGCAGTTCGACTGGAGTGCGAGAATAGTTTTAGTGAATGTCACTAACCTGTCTATGGTTTTCGTTGAAGACATTCTGGCCATTTACCTCGACGATTCGGTCGCCCTTCATCAGACCAGCGGCCTCCGCAGGTGAACCTATAATAACAATCATCAAGGACAAAATAACACAAATGTCAGCCGCTCCTTTGTTTTTATTTGCATCATGGCCTCAAGTCATGGTTACCAGTAGCTAATGTCTCATGAGAGTATTTACCGGCTACACAATTTCGAAATTTTTGAAACATACAGTGTCATATATTTAAGGCGACATAAGAGACATCTACGTACGTCGAAGCCAACAAGCAGTGAGCCATGAATAGAACCTGCTGACCAGATGCAGTCATAGGTAGCGTTCTGAGCTCCGCATCTGCACAACCCTAAGCGTCGACCTCTATACTATCAAAGGCACAATGCTTCATACGAACCATCAAGAACAGTCGTATTATGCGAATTATTCATAGGATACGTAATAATACAGAGGCATGCGCTATAGTAGGCACTGATGCAGTATATCTATTAATAAAAAATATATGGTCATACATGCCTATAGAAATACAAACACGTTTTATGAATACAACCGTGACGATAAAAACGCTTTTCAGAAATGGTATAATGTTGCAAGCATGCTCCTTTTTGACTTGTCATTTTCACTATAATAATGCAATGTTATTAAAGAACGAAACAGGTAGAAAAAAGTTAGTAATAAGCAGTTTTTACGTAGATCGGCTAACACTTTGATGATCAAATAAGGTACAGGTATATATATATATATATATATATATATATATATATATATATATATATATATATATATATACACATATATCGGTGGAGAAAAGTCTTGCTCAAGCTCTCCAATGAATAGGAAACGGCCGAACTCTTGCATGATTTCGTTCCGAAATTATAGTCCAGTTACTGTACTTCAGAAGTAGCATTTGGGCTGGTTATTGTCGAGAAACGCTCCTCTGTGTCTTTAACAGTGGAGACGTTAGTTTCTATCGTCAGGGGATCGACATGTCATTGGCGTCAACAGCAGTGACTTCTTAGGAGAAAAACTCGAAAAATGGATTGCTGTTACTACCGAACGACCTGTTTGTTCGCTAGCTACAATAAACAGAAAGGTCGTTTGTTCTAGCCCGTCGCTTCAAACATGTAAGAAGAAAATATACCTCTAGTAGTAAATGGACACTCCTGCTAAATTATAAAGTGTTTAGGCTCTTCGCACCAGACAACGAAGCAAAGAAGACAATAGCTTTGCATTAATTGGATATTTCAAGTTAATACAGATCAGGGAGATCAGTCATGTTATTTGTGATTTCTGAAAACATCCATATGTTTTATGAAGAGTAAGACTGCCACGTTGCAAAATCGAAGAATTTCGTTATTTATGGAGAACCTAATCCTGCCACATCAAACGAAATTACGGGCGTAACCGACTGAACTTTTCTTTATGGCGATAAAGAAAATATTTAGCTCGACCGCAGAGCGTGAGATCCCAGGCAGACTACGAAGCTATAGGCAATGCAAAAACCCATTGAGGCTTAAGGAGATAAGCGGTTCGGCCGTATCCTGTGTTCCTGCTAATCGTTTCAACGGCTATATATATAATTAGCAATGAAAGCCGAGGTGTAAGCATTAGTGTACCGCCCTCTCTCTCTCAGGAGTGCAAGGATCTCCCATTCGTATTTCGTCCCTAGCGCATTCAGCTGTTCGACATAGCCAGTTTTAGTAACTGGCTTTAGTAACCGATGACCGAACTACTGTAATAATATCATAGTTTGGTCCAACGGTAATGGAAATAGCTTGTCTTCGTTAGATGTACACTGAACATGACCATGTATTTGTTACATCTATTGAGATTGGAGCTTTTTTCGGATTACCATTCATCTCATGGCAAACAGTTGTAATTCATCGACAGACATGTTCCACAGACGAAGTTGTCTCATCTAAACACGTGATAAATATTTTTTTTTTTACTATATTTTTCTTTTCTTTTCTATGCTAGACTTTTCTTTATAGTTTGCGTAGCTACTTCGTTCAGTTCCATCATGGGTTTGCTACCGATATACGTATAACCCGGTGACACCGAAATTGGTTGTTGCTTACAAAATCAGTTAATCCTATAGCTATTGCATTTTGCAATATCGGTAGCACAAGTGAAACTGTTACACGCCTATTTTTCTACCCATTATTAATATTAACGGGAACAAACTGGAACTAATTCAGGTAATATTGTAGATTAACCGCATGGTATAAGAAAATCGTCAAAATTATCATATAGAACTATTTACTAATGGTAATCGTACATAGATGGCTTTTGCTGGTCCTGAGAAAATGAGCTTGGCGCTATAAGATCGTCAGATCCGAAAATTGTTTAGCTATGAAATTCTGCCGCCTGACTTTATACACACGCGTGTCTGTCTACGCGTGTGTATGAAGTCAGTTATTTTGAAGATATCTTGTACAAAAAACAGCCAGCCACGCATGAAGAAAAAAAAGCACGGTAAAAGGCCAATAACAAAACCTATTTAATGTATGTTTCATACAGTTTGGCGATTTTGTATTTTGCGGACCACAATAACTCTTCAGATGAAATATTCAGGGTCTAGGCGCCTCGTTTTAACATAGTCTGGAGGTGTAATTTAGCAAGAAAAAAAAACAATGCCAATCGCTTACGGATAAGTAGGTTATATATATAGAATAAAAAGATATTGCAACAAATATATCTGTTGAGCTGGTTTACTAAATGTAAGTTAATATTGGCTTTGAAATTTGAATAAAACTGCATCAAAGTTCACTAGCTCGGCCGCAAGAGGTCATATGGGCTAATTTTTGATCATTTATGTCATACAAACGTCTTACGAACGCTGGCTTCATTTTTCTGGAAAGGCGGCTCGCAACTTCATCCATTTTGTCCAGACAGTATATAAACTTAACTTCATATATGAATCGACATTTTAAGAAAAATACGGGTATGTATAAGATCTCAATAGATAGATTATTAAATAACAGCTATATTTGAATCCTTCATCAATTCAAAAATCTGACACGAGGCTCTGAGAACAAACTGAGTAACGTACGATGTACTAGCGGTTTGAAATATATTCTTCACAAATCTATCATTGCGTCAGTAGATAACACTGCTCCCTCTTTGCACTGAATTTTCTGAATCGTTCCTTTTGCCTTTAAGGTCAAACGAGTGAAAATTCGTTTACTTCTATTCTCAACAAGTATTTAAATCAGTTCGTTGTTGTTTCGTCTACGAGCACATTGACGACGATCTGGGCTATTTAGTGAAGGCTAAATGCTTCAGCGCTAGCAAGATTTGGGCCAGTTTGCTGTTCCCTACTTTAGGAGACGAAGGACAACGACATACCACTATCCTATGTCAAATTCTGACGAAGGATCTAGCTTCGTGCCCGTTGGAGTGCTGCTGCCACCTGCTTCTACGCTTCGACCACTATTCACTCTCATACGATTGCTGAAACATTCGCTAACCATACTGTTATAAAAAAATCATACTTCATAGTTAAATGCTAAGTGTTAGACGTGCATAGACTGCTAAAAGAATCAGAGGAAGAACCTCATGAAAAGGACAACGGGACCATGGGGTAAAAATTTTCGCAAAACATTAACCGCATAATCGTTCTTGTTATTATTTTATCATCACTACAATCGTCGCCTCAGAATTAAGTCGGTAGTGTTCTTTAAGTGTACGAGCAGAACAACTGCCGCAGCAACTATCCGAACGTTCTTGCAAGCCGTCACCGTAACATTCGTGTAGCAGCAGCTGTACTTTTGTGGTACGCATAAATAAACCACTAACGGGACAAGTTGCAACAGGAGGACTTTGCTGCTGCTGTTACCAACCGCATTGAAACTTAGTGAACGCCTCCACTAGCCTATTCGCCGCCGCATTTGACAATGTGTTCGACCTGTTGCGTTACAGTCGCTTGTTTCCTGCTAAACAAATGTTAACGCTCGACCTTGCCTTCGCTTGACTTCAGCCTATTGGCGTTTATCCGTCTGACCACTTCATTGCGGATATTGTCACTTTTCCCCGCCAGAAGCAAGCCAGTAGATACCTGAATCAAGTGAGGGACCTACAGACTGACGCACCCGCGGATCTTCGTTTAGTTCTAATCATTGCTATCGTCGTTAACTATTCTCTTCACTGCAGTTATATTTTGGCTGTTATTATTGGGACAGGCCGTTACGATGCCTGCTCTTCTATACGTGCTGCTAGCCCTCAGATTTGCACGGCGGTCTATTCAGTCGACCAATTTTTCTGCCGCACCACGGTCACGTCCGCCGGATAACTTCGTTATGAAGAACCCGCTCCGTAGAGCAATGACGAACGCAGCTGGGCAAAGAGACGTATCAGTGAAGACGGTTCTTTTTCATCATGGCTGTAATCATACGTGGACACGCATGTACATTATAGCTGATAGGTAAAACCGCGCCTCTATTTTAGCTAACAGCTGCTCCCTCTATCCATTTCTTAGCGTGTCCTTCTCTCTGCATTAGCGCCAAGCTAAAAGCACTTGGTGTAAAGTGTACAAGTAGGCTTATTCGTTGACTAATACTGAGAATATTGCCCCTTTGGCCTATTAGAACTGTATCGACCCTAACGCTTCGCAGGGCTTTCACTATCGCTCCTCTGTGGACAAACCATTCCTAACAATTATTGCATCTATTAGGTTACGCTGCTTATGTTGACTATATCGTACGTTTTCGGGTAGGACTTTAAAATGATATTATCTATAACATGGATGAATCTTAAACTGCGTAATTGACAACGAGTGAGAGCAAACGACGAACTGGCATGATGGTTGAAGCATAAGATCGCCGAAAGCACGTAACAGCATAAAATACACAAATACAAACACACAACGACGCTCGAAACTAAGATAACACATTCGATAGATAAACAGATTTAATAGTAGTAAAATCCGTAAACCTTCTTTGTGTTTTTGATGTGACATTTCATCTACAGTAATATTTTGCAAATAAATTATACACCACTGAACAGTCATGGTAGCATGTTAACGTTGCTAGCACTCCACTAAACAAGACTTACGTGATTAAGACGTTTC